GTCTAGCAGATGAGCCATGGAGCTGGACCTGACGAGAACTGGGGCAGAGCTTTATTCTTAGCTAGACATGTCTAGGCCTGCGGCAGCCGTCGATGCCAAACACGCCCCGTTCCGTGGCTCTCAACGCCGCAAGGCGGATGGCGGACGAGTCACCGCGGGCGCGACGTGATGTGACGATGGTGCAAGCCACCTGTCGTCAAACAACGCGAGGGCGCTGACCCATCTCATTTCGCTGTCCTCGCGGATTCATTTCCTGGAAACTTGTGACGAGCCGCCCGTTGACAATCACATCCGTGACAGTTGAGGCGACGTCACATCACCCTGGTCATCAATAAGCCATTCACACGACGTTGCATGCAAAGTATGTCAATCTGATCTAGGGTTGGCTGTGCCTTGAACGGTCATCATACCTGTTCCAACGTTTCTGGGGCATGTTTGCTTTGTGCCTCTCCTTAGCCACCCAATTGATGTCTGGTGTCCCATTCCTCGACCTGGAGCTAACCTTTTCGCCAGGACCGCCTGTGTTGGCCATGACATCGACATACAGACATTGTACATGCCTAGCGGCGGATTGCAAAAGGCGGAGCAATCTACAGCATGTTAGCATGGTTGCTCTCTCCAAATAGTCCTCACCCTGGATCGCCGCGGCACTGCTCAGGTAGCCTAGCTTCATCCTTCCCCAGTGTCATGGCGTCCTCAGATGACCGGCGGTGGTTCTGTTCGGGAAGAGATCTGACCTTGCCGGTCCAGATCATAGTCCGTCGCGATCTGGTCTGTCCGCCCGCGCGTGACATCGTCGATAGGTGCGCAATGCCGTGCCGGATCGCAAAAGCTTCCTAGCTCCGAGTCCTACCGTTGTCCCGGTACGCGCGCCTGTGCCAGCAAGAGCTCCGGCGTCGACGCAATGCAGGTGGGCCTTGCCGCCTGGGACAACTGTCGTGGATCCGGTTGCATGCTGCAGGCGGGCCTTGCAGCTCACAGACCAGGATCTTTCCCCGGTAAAGTCCCTGGCTATGCCCTAGCACCGTGGCCCGTCAGAAATGTTGTCGTTGTTCGATGTGCCTGCGTGACTGGGATCCCCGGTTGGCCGATGCACCCACACCCCTCGGCCATGGTACCGGATATCACCGCTCCAGGGGTTCTGGTGAGGATCAAAGCCGGACGAAAGTGAAAGGAGCATGCATTGGGAGACACGTGCTTCCTCTCAGCATTCCATGTGAGGGGTATGATAGTTTTGGTGGCGCCCAAGCCCAGGCACCATCTCGCTATTCAGAATGTTAGCGCTGGTAGTGTGTCTGCCATGAGGAGGATGATGTGCCTGGGATCCATTGGAAGGCTGCCAAACACCTACTGCGTCGCACTCCGCATCTCGGGCTATAGCATCATCGTTCAGATGCTTAGCTTCAGGCTCAGACAAGGGCTGAGAACCAAGCCAAGTTCCTCAGCAACGCCGCAATCCAGAGCCAGGTTCATTGATGGGGTGGGCGGCCGCGGATCGTGCTGGGGAACAGGGGGATTCCGCCCTTCCGCGCGGACGGTAATTCGTGGCGTGGCTCGTGTGGAAGTTTGAGTTGAAAGAGATGAGGCGAGAGCGAGGCATGCATCCGTGCTCTGTACGAATTGCTGGGATGACAGCAAATGGCATTGGCGTAGCTGGCGTAGCTGAGTGCTGACTGAGAAGAGTTCCATCCCTGAAGGGAGTCGAGAACGGGATCGGATCAAGGTCTGGTGGTGGAATGGAGTGGAATGGACGGGAGCTTGTTCCTGCCTTACACCAGTTGGTGGACGTTGAGTTTGCCCTGCGCCTGCCGTTGCGGACCGTTTCCTACCCAGTTGGAAGGTGCGATGCGGTTCGTGGAGGGCTCGCTAAAAATCTTGCCAGGCATTGTCGAGCAAACTTTCTTTGATGCTCCATCAATCATTGATTGCATCAACAACTCGAGTCCCTCTTGATCCCGTATTCTCGTCAATTCGCCCAGTCGTGATGCCACGGGGGGCGTGTGTTTGTCTCTCATCCAAATCTGCAGCCCTCTGCTTTTGCGCCTCCCCGTCTACGACATCTGTCTCCTTTCTGTTCCACTCACACGTCTCAAGGCAAGACAGGACTCTCTCCCATGTGGCCTTGGTGGGCGCTGCAATGCCATGTCATCTCGAGGCAAGACAGGCCTTTCTGTTTCTGTCTGTCCGTGGGGTTTGCAGTGTGATTAATCGTGTAAGTGACGCGCTTTCCTTTCGAGGCCAGCAAAGGTTCGACCGACTGACTGACGTGCCTGGCAATACTTGCTGCACATGGACATGGACATGGCCCTGGCTGAGATACAGAAACAGAAGCAGAAACGTACAGGCACCCCAGCCTAGCCAACAATGGGCAGACAGGGAGACCGAAAAGACTCGCAATTAACTGCTCCCAAGGGAACCGGGACCTTGCAAGGACTAGCCAGGATCAGCTAGGTCCGCACCACCCAAATCCATGGCCATGGGCGCGATGGCGATCTTCGTTTTCCTTTGGCTCCCCATGCCAGGTCGCTCATGTAGCGGCTCGCTCGCTGTTGGACGTCTTGTTGTCGTCTCTTTTCTCTTCTGCAAGCCCACCTACTCGTTGCTTTTTGGGTCTCCCGAAGGCGCGGTCGTCACCGCGTCTAGCCCTCTTTCAACTTAGATCCACGGTCCACTTCGCGCGCCAACTAGTCGCCCGCCACATGACTGGTCCTTGCTCTGCCGCCTGTACTTGACGGGCAGCATCTGCTGGCATCTGCATCTGCAACTGGATCGAGAATCAGACTGCGAAGGTCGGAGTGCCTTGGTCAGGGGCCGCCGAGGCTCTGAGTGACGTTTTGGGCACAGATGGACCTCACTTGAGCTTGCGCGTGAACCACCTGCGCAGTGCGTCGTGAGTTGGTCGCCGTCACTTGCGTCCGGCCGTGCCCACGTCTACTACTTTGGCATTTCCGTTGACCGCTCTAGTTTCTCGGGCTCCGTCTCCTTGGTAGCTAGCCGGCGAGCCGGCCTCGGGCTAGATGGGCGGTGTCGAGCTTAGCTCTGGAAGGCTGCCAGTTGTACTCGATGGAACTTCAAGTGAGGCCAGCTTCTATTCCGCAGTATCGGTGGCCTCGGACTCCCATTTCCGTCGTCTCCTGGTCTGTCAAACAGCCCAGCTTCATGACTTGTCTTTACATACTCTCTACATGATGCCACTGACAAAGAGGCGGACAGAAGTTCTGCCACGGGCTGATCTAGGGTGCGGTTCGAAGCTACCTGCCTACAGTACCTACCTACACCGACAGCCCTCATGGAGGCAGAAGAAAAAATTGTCATGACGGGCAAAACTACCGGTAGCTCCCCGTCCTTTATTAGGGCCCCGGTCGTCTAAGCCCTGCTGCGGTCTTGGCGACCGCGGAGTCTGCAAAGCAAGCAAGGGCAGTGGCACGCAACCCCTGGTAAATGCTTGCTGCGTCTGCTGGTCTTCAAGACCCTGGTCAACACGTTCTCCCTGGTACCTACCAGCAATCACCTCGAGAGAGAGCTCGTTGTTGGGCCCCCAGAACTAGCCCCAGCTTAGCCCCGGCCTAGCCCCAGCTTCTCTCGCTATAGACCGTGGCCTTGCCCAAAACCTGCACCCTGGGCCAGTTAGTTGATGCTCGCTCGTCGAGAGCCGGGGCCATCCAGCTCTGGGGCTTGATAAGGCGCGGCACCGGGAGCAGCTCAAGGCCTGCATGGATGGGATCCGTACCCAGAGCAAATAAAGAATACCACACAGTGTGGCTCTCTCCATCTCGGTGCCCCATCTGCTGGGACTCGCTTCTCATGGGTGTTTTTCTCTTGTTTGCGCTGCAGAACGCCAGACAACATCTTACATCACTGGGCGTTCCCTGACCTAGCTCTGCTTGTTCTTCTTCTTCTGACTCTTTTCTCTCTTCTTACTCTGTCAAAGCCTTACGGCCCAAGGCTACCTAGCCCACTGTCAGCCTTCCCATCTGTTGACGTTACCATACCTTGTCTCCTGCTGTCATAATCACCAACTCCGAGTTGACTCGGTCACAGCTCTGGCCCCATCCAGCCTACCCAACTCCAAGCTCTTGTCCAGCCAGCAGACCCGGCGTGGGCACCAAAACACATCACATCCAATAATTCGGATTGCGAGGCGAGAGGATTTGCTCAGACTGGTGGTCCTCGCTCCACGCCCCATCGGCCATTCACAGCGACGAAACTCCCCTTGAGCTGTATGATTTGCTGGTTAGCCTGCACATTGGCTATCCCCCTGTCGGCGTTCCGGTAACCACACTTGCACCGTTCATCATCCTCGACGACCTGCTCGTAAGTGAGCCAAGCTGTGTTCCCCGGGGCTACCCAGAATCTCACATATCAGATCCATCGTGGCGACCTGTGCCGCGCCGCCTCGACCTGTTGATCATTAGCTGGTTGACGTACTGACCTGCCATTCCTCGGACTGGACTCGACAAGCCAACGTCAAAACCCCCCATCTCCCCCATCCTAGCTCGAGTGGCCCAAGCAGCATCGACTAGGGTGATTCTTAAATCAAGTTGTTCTGGGCCTTGACCCTCCTCCATCCTTCACGGGGACAGCGTTGTCGGTTGCAAAGAAAAGGGTTGGATCATCTAACCCAGTCGCAACAGTTGACTTGCTCTCTCCTCGAAGCATTCGAGACAGGACACTGCGGTAGCTTCACATCACCGGGACTGTTTGGGTATCAATCCCATCGGGTCCCCAAGAACAACACACCCAACCTGGCGATCCAGACGACAAGCCTGTGGCCGCAGGCACAGCCATCTCAGGGCAGCCCTGACTCTGCTGCAACAGACTCAACCGGCGCAACCCCCAACTCGCCGCGGACGCCATCGACACCGAGTTGGCCCTCCCAGCACTTTTCTCTGCAGAAGCCTTCCAGCACCCAGGACAGTCAACAGCCGTCCTTGACTGGGGCCGGGGAGGGTCAATGTGCCGGCCCTCGTGGCCAGGTGTGCACAGGCGATCTGGTCCCAATGTCGCAGACTGGACCTGCGTCTCGCCATGCCTCACGCCGCTCTTCGAGGTCACCAGCGGGAGACGAACAAGTCTCGCCCTCCTCGACTCGGTACGGGCAACCCGGCGCTCGTGACACGCGTCAGGACTTGAGCAGCGTCCCGTACACAAATGGGGAGAACAGGGCGCATCAGGTTCAGCCGAGGACTTTGGGTGTTCACAACATCCTCAACCCTCTGGAGCCCCAGCTGCTCAGTTCAGGGGCCAGCGGTCATCTCCATACAGCAGTTCGACCTCATGACGGCGAGTTACCGGCCGTAACTCCTGGGTCAACTCCTGGACCTTTCCCAGCAGCGCGACTGTTCCCAGCTGCTCAACCTGCTTCGATCTCGCTTCCGGGCACGCCTGTTGGGCCTCTGACGCCCCTCGGTGGTCCTTCATCGGAACGCAACTCTCCAACCATGGCATTTCCTTTCCCTGCCGTGAACAACCCTAGGCGGAAACCCAGCCCAACTCAACCTTCTCGAGCCATGAGTCTTAGCCATGGACCACAATCAAATCGCGATTCCGAAGTCCGCCAATTACCCCCGCACAGTGTTTCCCCAGCTAAGCGGCCCTACGAAAGCGAAGTCCTGGAAGAGACTACCAGGTCTCACTTCCCAGGTCTGCAACATCTTCCCGGCATGCCCTCAGGTCCTCCCTCAGCAATGTCGACTCCAGGACGATCTCTCTCGCAGTCGGCAATCCCTTCTCCAGGATCACAGGCACCTCCCCCTATCTTGCCACCAAGTACCGCTTCAGGTCGCCCGCAGCAACCTCCGATGCCCCCGCAAGGGCCATACCCTCCCAACATGCAGGTTAATCGACAATTCCCAGGTGCAGGCCCTAATGAGGCTTCCTCGCCATGGACTGAAACAATACGGAGGCACGGCATGGGAATGGGAGGTGCTCTATTCGGTGTTGAAGGACAACAAGCTTTCATGACTCTTCCAGGAAGCGATACTCCGATTGCCGTCCCAGTTGATTTCTCTCAAGCATCTAAGAAGGCAGACGAAAAGCGACAACGAAATGCGGTGGCTTCAACAAGGCATCGCAGGAAGAAGAAGATCCTCCAGGAGGAGAATACTAAACAATTACAGGAGCTTCGGGACGAGAGGAGGATGATGGAAATAAAGATCGAGGAGTTGACACAGCAACGGGACTTTTACCGAGAAGAACGCAACCGATTGAGAGACATTGTCGCGCAAACACCGTCGATTAGTGGCCTCGCGGTTGGGCCGCCAAGTCCTAATTTTGCGAGCGGCTCTTTTACCGATACGAGCTCGCTTCAACAGGGACCTCAAGGCTATGGGGGAGATCCTTCGACGGGCGAACGACCAGCACAGCGCCGGCGAACCGACGACCGACCCGAGTTCTCGATACCGTCCTACGGATCTCCTGCGAGCATACACCCCGGAGCATCTCCGAGCGGGCTACCACCTATGCAAGGCCCTGGTTATGGAGGCCCATCACGGCCATCGTCTGCAGCATCATCCACCAGCGGTGAAAGGCTCCCGCCGTTGAGGGCTATGGACGGCAGGCCGCCACCTGTCCCGGGGCAAGGCCAGGTGCAAGAGCAGGATCCTCGGACTGGCCAATGGGTTTCAGTTCAGCCGCGTGTTCCAGAAACTGGGTGGGCAACTCGGGACGCGCACCGAAGATGATAGGGGTGGGAGAGGAGATGATTGACGAAGTCGACACAAGAGGCATCACCTCGCTTCCAAACCAGGAAGCCACCGAGAGCGGACTTTCAGCGTCTCAGACATTATGAGTGCATCCTCTCAATGAGGTGCAATTGCCTATATGCCATCATCTACTATATAATATTGGAGTGGTTCTGGTTCTGGTTCTGGGTCCGGTTTGGGGGCTAGCGGGTGGGATTTTGGAAGACGCATTATTGTTGGGCAACCGACGCCATTTCCTTGTGCTTTTATGCTGGTTTCTTTTTTCATTTCATTGTTGTTGTTTCTCTATCTGGATTATATGTCTTTTCTTAACGGAGTTGGATATTCCGCATGTACTGGAACGTTTCTCTTTTGTTAACCTAACTGGTGGCGGCTGGATGGAAGGATGGTGAAAGCGTGTGTTTTTTGCTGCGTACTTGTCCATTCATTTTGCCTTGAGGCTGTGTTTCAGAGCCTCTACCAAGCCCAGATTACTATTACAGAAACAGGTCTTGCTACAGATTGGTTTGTTGTTTATTTGTTTTCCCTCCATGTTTTATCATTTCTTCATTGTTAAAGACACTGCTCTGCTTGTCTTGTTTTGCTTGGACATGGCATAAAACCAACGGAGTCACTCGTTTCGACAGCACCTTGCTTTGGGGCAAGGCACACTGGATCAGGGGGAGGGGATAGGGATAAGCCTCGCGAGAGGTGAAAATCAAGGAAGAAAAAATTGGTCAAATCACTGGTATTTTGGGTGTCCTCTCTTGAATTGGTCAAGAATGGATGTCCGGTCTGTCGTTACCTGGAGAGGCATTTCTTTACTGTCACGGCTGGCTCTTGTTTTTGCGCGTTGTCTCTTACCGGGAAACCCACCCATTGATACCAGATTGTACTTGTCTTGTTTTTGGTTTACTTTTTCTTTTTACTTGCTTAGTTAGTATCGATTTGTACTCTAGCTGCCGGCGGGATGGGACAGGAGTTCTCTGGGCCATTCTCCTTCTGTTTATCCTTTAGGGGGTTGTTGCGGATTGATACCTGATACCCTGGGCGTGTGCTACTGGATGGAAGAAGGAAAGAATAGGGATGGAGGATCCATACTAGGGCGAACAGCACTAGAGAAGAGACAAGATCTATCTATATCATGATGGCTGCCTTGTGTGCAATGCAAGTGACGCTCAGACTGTGTGTTATCGGTGACTGCGTATCGAACAAGGTAATTACGTATTAGGAGTCGGCATGAAACTAGAGGAGAAACTGAAAGATCTGGCAGCGGCGTGGCGTATCTCTTAGGGGGAGATCATCATGTACGTAAGAAGCAGGGCGATAGTTGACAAGTCGCATTAGCAAGAGACCACTCGGGCACACAAGCATGGCTAGCCCTTTCTACAGTGTGACAGGCCCAAAGCGGGTTTTTCACGAGAGAGGGAGAGAGAGAGAGATTGATGATGAGAGGCTTTAGTGTGGCTTGCTGCAGCCCTCAAATGCAGGCCTGCGCTGGACACCATGTCTGTGATGGTGAGTGCATGAAGCTTGCAGGGGGTGTTTGGGTCAAGGGGAGTGGGAGGGAAGAGGGGGGATATTTGCTTCTTTTACCTGTGTTTTCTTGTCTCAGCCAGGTGCAGTTTTCACACGTTGCCGCAGCATGTTTTCTCTCTTTTTTCTTGTGTTACCTGCCTGCCCTGGCAGAAAGGGCTTGTCTGTCGTCACATCCTCCAATCTCGGGGATTGACCGGGGGGGAGTGTTTCCCTCTGCTTGGGTAAATTGGCGTAGACTATCATATCATCTGCAGGTGATAGAAAGTTGCCTGCCCGCCCTATTCCTCGTGTCGCGGTCGGTCTATCGGTCGGTGTTCCATGTAAGGCATTCATACATCACGTTCCATTCAAGGGGGCAATCTCGATTTCCCATGTCGTCTCTTCCAAGATGGGAATAATTCGAGTGAAGATGGAGGAAATCCAGGCACGTTAGGTACCCACTTTCTTTTTTTGTCTTTTTCTCTTATGTCCCGTAAAGAGGTCGGTCCCACTGATGAGAGATGGGAATCTTTCATCTTTTCACCCCGCGCATAAAGAGACGAGAAAAGGGCCCCCCACACTCAGATCGCGCCATCCCGCGTTCCTGGTAAACTCAACTCAAGTCTCAACCCCATCCCCGACTATGGAAACTTTGATTGTTACATCATGTTTCTAGCATCATCCTGGCTCCTTTAAACGCCCCTCGTCCACCCGCTCGGCGCGGGATCGGCATTGGTCTCCAAGGATGAGGCTGCTTGCTTCTTGTCTCTCCTGTGCCAAGTAAGAGACGCTCCTCGAACCGTCTGTACTGTGAGGGTGTGCATCGTCCACGCATGTCTCAGTGCGTATTCTTCATCAGCAGCATCTTTTTTTCCCCGCAACGGCAGCGAGATGACTGAGGTGTCCCCTCCCATCGGGTTCTGCATATGCGTGTCTGCCGTCGCTCTTTCATGACAAAAAAGGGCCTGGCTTGCGAGATGCAGGCTGAATTTGCTTTTTTCCCCCTCCGTCTCTCTTTTTGTCCGTGGTTTGCAGCCTCCGCATCATCTCATCTCGCAGCGCAGCGTAGGGCCAACAACCACACACATATGCGCGCGCACAGGGAAAGCTTCGCAGCAGCCCGTGGTCAACTGACGACAGCTTGCTTACCTATCGCGGCGACAACAACGCTAATCGACGGGCGTGAGCTGGCTCAGCTCAAGTGGCTGTGTTTGCTTTGAGACCATGGATGCCATCATCTCCAGCCAAGCCAGTCGCCCGCCCACGGGGGTGGTCTTCGGTAATCCATCCCATCCTGATGCCGCTTGCCAGGCGCCCTGTCCCAGTGATTACATCCTGGCCGTGTATTCGGAGACTAGTTCGGACTAGGGGCCCTGACGATCTCGAGTGTCGTACGTGTGTGGACCATGATCATCATGTTCGGTTCGTGGGGCGCGCCGTTGCAGGCTGAGCTGATGGCCAGGGTCGCCTCGAACGGCAGACATGGCATCAACTGAACTCGGCCGCCGGCTCTCCACCCTGGCCGAATAGCGACTCTATACAGAAGAGAATGGCACGACTTTTGCCAGCCGCTCATCTACAGCCCGTTGGCCCCGCTGGTTATTTCCCGAGAAGCAGCACCAACAGGGAGCTAAGCAGCAAGCATATCGAACCTTGATGCAATCACCAGCCGCAGGTGCCGCCAATATCCTCGATCCTGTTCTCTCAAACCCATCTCGCCTCGTGCCATCCATCCCGCGTGCTCCCTCCAAAATGCCATTTCAGTTGTTGATTACGGTCCACCTATGAGGGAACTTGATTAACCTCTCTACAGCAGAAATCGAAACACTTTTTTTGTGCTCTTGTCACATTGGTTGGTTGAACGTTGTGGGACTAGGGCTCACGCGACTTGTCGACATCCCGCGCTTTTGGAGATTCTACGAATGGACTGGCTCACACGAGGGAAAGAGTCTGGCCAGACTTGCCTGCGGGACTTTTTTTTTTCCTACTTTCCCACTTCGCGCCGTGGGGGGGGGGGGGGGTTGAAGACGTGTCGAAAGCATTGCCAGAGGCCTCAATCCTGGTGGGACCGACGCTCCCTCTCGACACTTTTAGCTTTGGGTGCCGAGAAGGGTTGGGCACGAAAGAGCCAAGGACCTTTGTCGAGTGTTTTCGGCGATTTAATGAAGCACAGGGGAAGGTCTGGCTCGGTCTGGACTTGAAATTGGGACCTGGTGAGATGTTTCATGTTGCATTCGACGACGCCATCTCGGCTGAAGCTGAACACGAAGAAACACGAGGCCAGCAAGGTAGGTGAGAGGTCATGTACGTCGTGACTAGACCATTTGCTATTTTGGACCAGAGCAAGTTTTCCTGCCTTCGCCTTAGATCCGAGACGGATTCAAGAGACGAGTGTTCTGAGGGCACGTGGGCAGTGGTAAACCCATCGACTCTGTACGAACGTTTGGCTTTCAGTTCTACTTGTCAAATGCATATCCATTTTTTATAAGTGAATTACTTGACCATAATATTCAAGAACAGTCATTGTGGTCTTCTCCTGCTTTCTTTGCACAGGTATGACAAGAGTATCCCTTGATTGAGTGCCTATGTAATGCTGTAACTCGGCCTTATCGCAAACCCAAAAAGAGGTTCGGGTAATAAGGCAATGACTGGTCATGAGGATCATGGCAATTAATGGGATGAGGGCAATATATTGAAGCGGTTGCTAACGTTACAGTCAACTACAACAAATTCTGGATATATCGCAACGCGCAGCATCATCACCACCCAACCAAAATGTTGCCCAAGGCATAGTAAAGGTATCAAAAATTCGACACGCTGTTCTTGCCGCTGCGCCTGAGAAAGGACCTCTGCTGTAATTAGGCCAGGTGCTGTGGTTGAGGGGTGAACAGGGAGTAATTCAAGCTAGCACAGCCCATGGCGCTGAGGGCTGGACTCATTGGGAGACGGACATTTTAAGCACAAAGAGGCCAATCAAGGGCATGGAATGTTTCACGGCATTTTAACCATTCAAAATTCCCGAGATTCAAGCCTACTGCACATCAACGGTTGGTCCAAGTCTCTTGTATTTCAATACTTTGGTTCTAGACCAGTAGTTCAAGACGCCAATTAGCCAGGCCCTGGCTCTTGAGTATCCCCAGTCCAAAGGCTCACATTGTGTCTGAATGTAAGTTTCTCACCAGAAACGTCATTTATGAATAGTTATAATACCAACTGAGCATTTTTACCATTCTACAGACAAGTTTCGACACAATTGTCAAGCCAAGTGACGTCGAGCGTTGAAGTCAAGCCACAGTACGACAGTGTCAACGCCACATGTGGCTGTGACCTTCCATTCCAGGTTTCCCTGTTTGTCTAACCCTGTCATCATCGCGCCTGACCAACCAGAGGAGCTTCCAGCTAGAACATCTGGCCTCGAGCTCCAAACTTGGCGTCACTCAACACCAAGCAACCCCCGCGGTCACTTTTCGCACACAAAGCGCCTCTAGTCGCATTGCATTTGCGCTTCTTGCTTCTTTGCGCAGTTTCGTCGCCTTCTCAACTTCGCATAGTCCCTCCCGTCAGCAGAGGCCCTGCCTCATCGCCATCATGGCCCCGCCATTCCCGCGCGCGAGCATAGAGCTCGACTACCCCCTCTACGCCGTTGACTTTGACCCTGAGGACTCTACTCGCTTGGTAGTTGGAGGTGGAGGTGGAGCTGGTCGATCTGGAGTTGGAAACAAGATTGTGAGTTGGCTGTTCTCAGTGGCATTGCGAACTGTAGCTAACCCGAGTCGCAGACTGTTCTCGAGACCCTGTCACAGCAAGAGCTCCGCATAGCTGGAGAAATCGACCTTTCCCGCGATGAAGACAGCGTCATGTCCCTCGCCGTCGGCTCGCACAAGGGCAAGACGACATACCTCTACGCCGGCGTGAACTCGAGCCACGACAGTATCGCAAAGGGCAAGAACGAGCACCTCCGAACCCTTGCCATCGAGCAGTCCAAGGCTCGCGCCGCGGCCGGGACTAAGATTCCCGACTCCAACATCTCTGAGCTGTCGCGCGCCGCACTGTTCGAGAACCCCGATGCCGACATGTATCAACGTCTGCTGCGAGTCGCTGGGCCGGTGGGCGCTGCCGCTACTGCGATGGGTAAGGAGCATCAATTGGCTGTTTTCGAAGCGTCTGGCGCTGCTACCAAGCTGCGTGGCGTCTTGGAGCTGCCAAAGGAAGCCGAGGATTTGGATGTTGTGCAGACCGGAGACAACGAGTTTCAGGTCGCATACTGCTACAAGTACGAGCTGTATCTTGTCAAGATCGGCGCGAAGGAGAGCAGCGACCCAGAATTGGTATACACGATGCCCGACGACCATGGCGAGCGACCCGTGTTCCGGTCGATTCGTTATCTGAGCCCCAATTTCCTCGTGGCTGCTGCCAACCTCCCCAAGCGAAGTGGTGTTGTGCTTCAGGGATATAGACTGCCCTACACAGGCCATAAGGGCGCCCGGTTGGCTGTCAGCGCCCGGATACCAAGAAAGATCTCTGCGACTGCTCTGGCTGTGGCTAACTTGTCTCCTCCTGCGTCGCCTGGAGCTCCAGTTGGCGAGGCGCAATTCATTATCGCAGTTGCGGGCCACGACTCTTCACTCTCGCTCTACACAGTTGATGTCATTCCAGGTGCTTCTATAGAACTCCTGTCCAAGCTCTGGCCCCTGTATACTCTCAAGGACGTCCATGGCACCGACAATATCACCGGTCTTGCGTTTTCGACCTTTGTCACTCCCAAGACCCATATCCGCCAGCAGTTCATCAAGCTCGCCAGCATCTCCCTCCAAAAGACGGTCGCTGTTCACAGCATTCCCCTGCGGAAACACGTTGACAAGGCCCCGCGGAATAAGAAGGGACCTCCTCGCCCGACCCGTTATGTTACTGCCATGAAGTCGCGTGGTCCATCTTTCCGCCCAGTTGCCATTGCTCTGGCCATTATCGTGCTCATCCTTGCCGTCATCGGCCAGTCTATCCTCGAAATATATGGCGTCGGCCGCCCGATCCTTCACGCGGAGAAGTTCCTCCCCTCATGGCACGGGACTCTCCGGGATCCTGCGCATCCACCGGCTGCCTTCCTGGCCGAAGATTTCTTGGCCAAGCTTGCCGGCCGAGATACCCTCAAGACCGATGCTGGTGAGACCCTTGTGGTGTACGAGGGCGAAGCGCCTCCTGCAACTGCTGAAGGAGACGACGCCTCTGTGCCAAAACTTCAACTCGATGTCCACGAGCCATCCGTCCACGGGCCCGGCAAGACATGGGAGGAGCTGGGCGAGAAGCAAAAGGAGGCGTGGAAGGCCCGTCTTAAGGAGGCTGGCGCATGGACGCAGGGCATGGGTGAGAACGTGTTCAAGGGCATCCTGTTTGGCGAGCTCGCTGGCGCTGTCGGCCGTGCTGTCGCTGGCTAAATCTGTACTATACTACAGCTCTGGAATGTGGAGGATGGAGGCAACATGTATGTATGTATTTGAGAAACGGGACCATGTCATGATAGTGCTTAGGAGTTGTCTAGGGGCGCATTTGTTTTGCTCAGATCGTAATAGTTATTAGTCAGTGATAGTAGATACTAACAAAGACTGTGTATGTGTATAGCATGAATGAGATTACAGATGTTGATTAGTTTGCTTTGGTGTTGCACGTCGTCAACCATCTGACTGACAGGTATATTCTCTATTGGATCTTCAATTCGGTAATATAAAACCCATCTTCGAGATAAACATCCTTCAACTCATATGACACAACGTCTTATAGGGGTTACCTCTTCCAACGGCTGCGGCAGTTCCCTGGCATGTATCTCGCCACGTCCATATCCAGCGTCATCTTGACCTCGGGACAATATGACCAGATATGTTGCCTCAGCTCAGGAGTTCCCCAGATGGGTGCGTGAAGCCATACTCCTCCACCGCCAGTATGATAGCCCATGGGCTCGTAGAATCCCTTCCAATCATCAATGCCCCCGATGTTCTTGGTATCCTCAATAGTCCCATTGCTTCTCATCTTGTCAACCTTCTCAGGTGGACCACTGTGTAACTCGCCTGAAAATGTCAGAGATACGCTTCCATTGGCTAACTTGGCGTCAGGGTGGTGAGCTAGACGTTTTGTAAGCCAGACATCCTCTGGTTCAGTATTGTGTGGACGCTGAAGGTTTCGGAGGACGTCTATGATACGACTAACTCGGCGGAGTGAAAGGCCCCCATTGCCTCCCCAAGCAGAGTTGGGATTCCAAGGTGCACCGACCCAGTCGTATTCGAGATAGTCGTCGAGGTCATGCTTGCTGTTTGCGCAGATGATCGAGTCCGTCTGAAATACCAGCAGCCACTCGGCAGGATGGAGCACCTTTTCGTATAGCCACAAGTTTGTGAAGAAGCGACTGACCATTTCCTGGCTTTGAACGCTCATATTTGAAGGAACGGGAGTCAATGCGAGTTTGCCTTGGACAACTCGTTGGCGGATGGCGAAGGAGTTGTTGATGGCTTCGATAGAGTCGTAGGAGCCCATGAATAGAAAGGGCCAATCTGGTGGAACGACGGAGATGAAGTGTAGGATCAAGGGAGCCAGTATTGGGAGTGGACGTGTTTCAACCAGCAGGGCGAGCTTGGAGGCGTTGAACTGGGGCTTCGAACTGGGTAGAAGGACTCTAGACGTCGTGGTATTGAGGGGATATAACACGGCAGTGAGGATCCTGACCACGGCTGATTAGCTTCTTTCTAAGTCGTTCGGATCGTAGAGGTCGATCAAGAAATTTGTTCTCATTCCCATTCAGGGAAGACTTACATCAAGGTGATCAGAACAGCCACCAGCTTCAAGCGACAGGTGAAGTTGGAAGGCATCTTGGCCTGAGCATTTGTCAATGAGACCTTTTCCATCTCTGTTGAAGCAGATAGAAACAAAGCTCCCGCTCGTTTGGCCGATAATGCATTTCTCAAGGATTCATCTCAACACCTTCTAGATGTTGTTGATGCCATGACTGCCGTGTGCAGCAACCTCGGGTGGCTCCTTCCCATTTCAAGTCACAACCAACCCGGGCCAGTGACCAAGGTTTCAACGACTCCAGACATTTTCTTCTCTCCGTATTGTTCCTTTCATTCAACTATCTTGGGAGAGATTGGCCCTTTCTCTTTACTCAACCTCTTGATGTTGCGTTTCGCTTCCTTCAACATGATTGGCATTGCCTCTTCCACAAAGCTTCGCATGATCCTCTGTCTCTCTCTGATCCTCACGTAAGGCCTCACCGATTCAAAGATGCATTGAACTGCTGACGAGTAATTGCAGGTGGTGGCTTGCCCATCTCATACCGCGTTTTTCGCCAAGTCTCGGTGAGCCAACCTCACCGCCAGACGGTCAAGCAGAGGCCATGGTCCACCTGGAATCCAATAGCAACTCTCCAACGCAGTACAACATGTCTAAGCTGGCCCTGCTGATCGAACCGAGACCGAGTCCACATCTTGCCCCCCTGGTTCTACACATGATGTCGGTTGTGCCGCGAGATTGGCCCTTCTTGATGATCGGTTCTCAACAGAGTGTTGCCCTAGTCGCACAGGCACATGCAATACAGTACCGACAGAGGAGAGGAAAGATCTCTTTTCAAATCATCTCCAGCTTATCAATCGCTGAGGATAAAGATTATTCCTCTAGCCTATTGACTGACCCGAAATTCTACGAAAGCCTTCCTGGGGTAGAGTGGATATTGAGATACGAGTCAGACAGCATCCTTTGTGCCAACTCTCCGAAAGGTCTAGACGAGTTTCTAGACTCAGATTGGACTAGCTTGGGATCGTAAGTCTATCTGATATCAGATGGGAATCTCATTTCATATCTAACAGAACTTGTTTAGAACTGATGCCGCTTATCTCGGCGGTAGTGGAGGATTATCACTTCGAAGGATCTCAGCCATCCGACGAATCTTGAGTTTCCAAAAGCGACTCAACAACTCTGAGCCATCCGACGAATGGTTCATGAAACGTCTCAGAGTACACCCAGGCAAGGCGATTGTGCCGGGTCCGTCGAAGCCGGGCCTAGTTGGTGACCATGAACAATTAGTGAAACCGATGGGTTATCATGTTCCCTTGGGTGGCGATCATCTCGACAGCCCCCTGTGGAGAGACACCGAGAGTCGGCAAAATATCCTTGACTATTGCCCAGAACTCAGCATGATCCTAGACATGAAGCTCGAGCGAGAGAGATGCCCGCCAGAAATAAAACAAGATTGGACCTTCACAGCGTGACAGACTACCACGAGCACGCCCGTGTTGTCCTCACCTCACCGCCGCCACAAGATCCCCAGGCAAAATGATTTACGGCATTGCATCGAATCCTACAGACCATGGCTGCACGCCACAACTCTGGTCCAGGGACTAAACATGTTGGACCGTTCAGAACGGTCAAGGCGATGGCACTGTAAGCCTTCAACGTCCTCCTGGACACCAGCCTGACATGGCAAGATGGCTAACTAGTGGTTTCAGCATGGTCAGCCCCTTGAGCAACTCGAGGTGCCAGCGGAGGGAGGTGATTGGCACTTATTCCACGATGGCTTCAATTTGATTTGGTACATTGACATGATCTGCTCTCAAGGTTCAACCCAAAGTGTGTGGCGCATCCGGATCAGGCCGAGTCGAGAGAGAAAGCTGTCTTTGTGACGTGAGACTCTAGCTCATCTGTCAATGTAGAAAGGCCACGGTTGACTGGATGCTACGGTCAAGGTTGAACAGCGTGGATGCATGGTGCCGTGCTTCCAGGTGCACGGCTTGTCGGCTTTCTCGAGGTTCCCGTGGAGACACGATGGATGTCGTTCCTGTGAAGTCAACCCGCGGCACATTACAAGAGCCGTGCGTGCTCCCAAGGGTGAATTGGAAGCTGATTTGAGGCTGAGAGATGTCGAGCAAGATGTTATTTCTAAAACTACTTTACGCAAGAAGCTCAAGTTAGCGCTCGGCCTCGAAATCTTGACCTTTGATCTCGCCAAGGTCGGGCACGGTCTGGGGATGCAAGCTATGGCCCGGATCAACCGAGGAGGCGTCCAATGACGGAGAATGGGCCTCTGCATGCTCGGGCTCAGGGCAGTCAAGAGCATCAAAGCCGTGAACAAAGGCATGCAGAGAAGAGAACTACCTAACCTAAGGAGGGCGCCAGCTTTGATGGCGAAAATCCTGCGTCTCCTCTGTGACACGTCGTGAGGTTTCCTTGGCCACCACTGTCAAAGTATCAGTGAGATTGAGATGGCTTCAAGTCTAGGCGAGTGGCCCGACGATACGAGCCTGGTCCCTGTCGCCGAGGCCTGGTTCTGGGTCCGAAGGAGGGAGGACCCTGGTCTGACACTGGCCACGGGCGACGATGGCCGTTGGGCAATTCACGGTGAGCATTTGCTGCGCTGCGAGCGTCTCTTGATCTTTTCTTTCATGCAAGATGACGGCGACCTGTTGCGGCCCAAAGGGTGAGGCCCTCGATCGAACCAAGGCGCCCAGTAGTAAATCGATAGGCTTAAAGAGCTGTTCTACGAGATGGGATGCGACGCGCAAAGATGGAAAGCCCCGTCTCTTTCGACGGCCCTGGCCGACTGCCCCTGTCGGGTGGCGAGGTTTGGAATTCCATTCACCATTCCACGGCTCCCGGCTGGTTGGGACCAGTGCAATCACGGGGGAGACGAAGACGCGGGCGTCCCCCCGTCCATCACCTCATGCGCAATGTTGAACACAGCAATGTCAATTTGGAAAATGCCGTCTTGTTGACGGGCTGTGCTACAAAAGAGAGTCGAGGGAGAGAAATGGAGACGCCCGACGTGTGAAGGCGTTTAAAGTTGTTTCATAGAAGATCAAGATTGGAGACAGGCGGAACGTGGGTGACAGCCACGTTTGCCCTGGTTGGCTGACGTGATTTGACTTGGCATGAGAGTGTGTGTGTGTACGGAGGTCTATCTCAAAAGTTTTGTCCTGGCCCTCAAGCCACACAAATACACGAGCCAATCAGAGGCCATTTTCCAAGCACAGTTACATCGGTACTTATGGTCCTCTTTCTTTGCTTTTGAAGCCCCTATCTTCTAAGGATATAGCTCTCTAAGCTTCACTAGATTTCCCCCTGGGCTCCAATAGCCCTCCCTATAGCTTTAGGGAGTAAGTAACTGAAAAGATTTGCTCCAAAGTACCTCAGGTACCGACAGGGATAAGCGGCCTTGGCGCTATTAGCTCCTGGACAAAACTTTTGAGAGAGACCTCCGTAGTCCGTCTCTCTTCACAAGGTAAAGAGCATGGCGAGAGTTTCAAGGTGAGCAACCAGCCGAGGCACAGTTGATCATCCATCTAACCAAGGGAGAGAGTGGAAGAGAAAAGGGATAGGTTGGTTTAACGGCGTTGGTTTGGTTTGGCTTTAGCAGCCTCCCTGACGCCAAACGAGATGGTTCTCCCCCAGGCCCCATATCGCTCCAGACACTAGGCGATCCAGCTGGCCGGGACGGGCGCGCGCCCTGGACAAGGCTTCGAGGTGGCCAAGTTTAGTTTGACCGGGGAAGAGATGAGGCGACGCGTCGTTGATCTACCTAGTTCCATTAAAGTTCAAATCATGGAGGAAAGAAAAAAGAGTCCGACGATGGAAAGGATTGAAGAGACATGGACGGGTTTTACGGCAAGATATGCGTGTGTGCTGTGCCTTGGTTTGCTTTGCTGTCCCACGGCAAAGCCTGAGTCAATGTCAAAGCGCACGGGACGGGACGGGCTGAGAAAGAGAGAGAGAGAGCGACTCTTTTGCTGCTGTTGCTGCAGGGGAGAGGAGAAGAAGGGATCGATTTTCCTGTTCTGGGCAGAGATAGTGAGACATTGCCTCTGAAGGGGCACGATTAGCTACTTTAGAAGCGCCGGATGAGATTGAATCAGGCAAAACGTCCTTGAAGAGGGACAAAAGATCCAAAAGCTTCATGATCATGGCCACGATTATTGTAACAATGACAACAACAAGCCTCTTTGTACTCGTGTTCCTCGACCAGGCAGGCAAGGGTTACCAAAAATTGGGGGAGGGGAAAAAAAAACGGGCTGTCAGATCTCACCAGCCACACTTTCGGTGGTTGTACAGATACTTTTTGTACATGGAGAGAGATTGAGAGAGAATCCAGGGGACGGGAAGCACACTTTTTTTGATCGACAAGTTTGCGCGCGCCCCGCCCTTTTTTCTTTGTTTGTTTGGACGGGAGCTAAACGGGATCGTCAATGGTTTCTGGAGAGGGAACCCATAAAGTGAGGCTTGGGGGGGGGGGGGGGGGACTTTATGAGGCTGCGTTTTTGTGTGTAAGGGCAGGCTGACGAGATGTTGTACTTCTCGATTCATGTATCTGTTGATACGGATTGTGATGGGTTTTCGTGCCTGGCAGGGGGCGTCATGTTTGGCGTTTGTGATGGATGTGATGATGGGCATGAATCGTGCATTTCGAGAAACTGTTGATGCTTCATGTCGATACACTAACACGGCGCAAACAAACACATTTCAAGCAATGAATTAAAGAAAAAAGGACGCTCATTCATGCACATCAACTGTTTAATGACTTTTAACGCGCAACAAACGGTGGTCAACTTTATAGAAGCCCGTCAAAGATTGCTAATTTTACCATTGCACCAAGTCATGGCACCATCTTGGACGCAAGCCTCCTTTTTCTCTTGCTTCGAGAATATCACAGAATGTGTGCTGTGCCTTGCAGAAAATCTGCAGGTTTCCGTTCTACATCAACACCTCCTTCTCAGCTCAAAGAGACGGGAGGCCTGTTTGTCTGACAAAGAAAAAGAAACATGGAACCGCGTATACAGTGAGATGCTTGTCTCAAATGTTTGAAGTCCAATGGGGGAACACCCGGTACCCACACAGCAGGGCGGGAAGATGATCACTCGCAGAAGAAGAAGAAGAAGAAAAACATATCTCAACATTTAATCATTCCGAAGCAAAGTAGTAATTGGTTGGCGAGGTTACCGACAGTTATTTTTCTGGGGTAGACGACATTGTTTGCTTTAGTAGGTATTCCCAGTAATTAGTGACTACAGTAGTTCTAGGCCGAGTCACATTCTTTTTATCGAGATCAGCCACCAACAAAACCAAGCCGTTGCCTTTTTTCACTCCTCTCGGGTCACCCGCCGGCGGGAGGATCGAGACTTGAATCCCGGCGCTCAAGCCAGAGCTAAGCTGCAACCGTCTGTCGACGTTAGTGACCCGGAGCCTACTGTACCCTATGCTAGGGCGGGATGATTAACGAACGGACGAATTTAGCGCTAGGACAAAAAAGACTGGATGATAATCGAGAACTTGTGATTGTCACAATCTGAGGGAAGAAACACCTGCTGAGGAACAGCCTGATAATGATCAAGCTTGCGGAGGGTCCGGGAGAAATAGATCCACAATCGAACGAACGGACATGGCCAGATCGATCCATCACGGTTACTCTGCTTGTTTCGATTCACCAAGATCCAGTTCGAGATCCAAACTGGTCGGGTCCCGCTGACGCGAGAGCTCGGGCACTCTTCAGTCCAATATCGGCTCGTTCATGCCATGAGCAGAGACATAATGTCGACCCAGGGAGAGACATGCCGAGGAACTAAGGTTCGTGCACTTCTGGGTCTGTCTACTCTTGAGAGCAAATACCTGTTCCAGTTGCAAGAATCACACCTAAATCTGCGACAATGCCTGCGACGACCTGAGGTGTTTTCGACGGGCACTATCGTGTCATGCCATAGAGGAAACGGGAACGGCATCGAGACAGAGAGAGAAAGAAAGGGACCCCTTCGATAGGCACATTCTCCTGTGCATCTGGCCAATCGACCTGGGGCTAATGCGGCGGCAGCATTGGCACTAGGCCCGGCTAGGGGCAAGTCAATTCCCTTGAGCCAGAGAGAGCGGTGGTGACGGCATTGAGCGAGCCAGACCGGGGGGGGGGGTCGCATGGGGTGTGTGGACGAGAGAAAAAAAGACCCGCCTTCCGGTGGTCAAGTGTCGCGATGTTGTGTGTTTGAATGTGTAGATTTCTCGTCGCGCGTAAGAAGCGCACTCCTGGGTAAGAATTGCTCTTTTGTAAGCGCTGAAGCATGTCACAAACATCCCTTCTACCGCCTTTAAACACTTTGCGCCCATACATTGTCCAGCCAGTTATCCGTTGTCGTCTTCTCTTTGAGCGCGCCTGGAGGTGTGAGCGGACTGGGTCATTATCCCAGATGGCGTGTGCAGGGATTACACTATGTCGGCATGGATGGATAGGGTGGACATGGATGGGACAGCCTGTCTGCGCTCTCTCTCTCTCTCCCCAAGGGAAGGGCGGGAAGAGCCAGTTTGCCCCAATTTCCTCTGCCCAACGTATTTTTTTTTCTTTCTCTTCTGTCGTTTCTTTACCCTCTACTGTACCAAGCATGAACTGGTGGTGTCTGCTTTCTAGGGTGAGAATTGCGCAACGAACAAAACTCAACCCCATCTTGTCAATGATTAGGGGGAGAAGTAGAGTTCAAGTCGGCACTCCGTGTGAGTGAGAAGAGTGTGTGTGACGATGACATCTTGTGCCTCGTGGCAGCTCCGCATCCATTCTCTTTCAAGGAAACCAGAGTGTCATTCATTCACCAGAAACTCTTCGCCCCCCTTCCCCATGCCGCCGTCATCTTTTTTTCTTTGTTCCATTGTGACTTCTCTCTCTCTTATCTCGAGACTGACCGAGTGTGGTAGCAAAACTCGCCGAGTCTTTATGGGAAGATCTTGTTTCGGTTTGGAACATGTCTTGACCGTGTGTCGTCGTCGTGTTGTCGACGTTGCTGATGCGTGCGTGCGTGCCCGCGAGTGGGAGATCCCGGTCCAGGACCCCTGCTGCGGTCGAGCAAACACCTGAGGAGGTGACAACTCTCCATGCCCGCCCTGCCCTGCCCTGCGGAGCATTGGACGTACATACAGAGAAGAGGCAGAGCTACCCTACAAACTGGCCTTTGAAGAACCCAACGGGGCGAATCGAAGTGCATCTCTTTTTGATCGACGTCCTTTCTCTGACCCAGCGGCACACACACTCACTTGGAGAGTCATTCCCTGCTGGGCTGAGGTGATGGTCCACGAGCCACCATCACTGACAGCCCACCACCCACCACCACATTTCAGGACATGTACATCAAGATCCACCACCATACATGCACCCAGACGCTTTGCACCAGCAGACGTTCAGGAGCCTGGTCCAATGTGCACGTTTCGCAGCGTTCGAGTCGAGCGCATGTAAGTATGTCTTAAGCCAGGAGCGCTTCAAACAGCAAGCCACCGCGGCTGGCTGGTTCCAAGACGTCCTGTCCTGCTTCTTCAGATGCCCAACCAGATTGCTTCCATCGTGGAAGAAGCGTAAATAGAAGCACTGCGCCTGCGGATCATGGATCCATCCATCGCGGTACTCTCACCTCGTACCCTCCAAGTACCCGGTACCGTGCCTGGGCCTAGGGTCGTCAGTCCATGGCTTCTCGAGGTAGGGATTAGGGGGTGGGAGAGGGAGGGGGGCGCTTTCAAAACGACAGGGACCCCGTGGATCCCCTTCTCCCTCCCCCGTCCAGCAGAAGCAGCTCTTTTTTTCCTTTGCTCTGTTCTTCTGGTGGCTCTCACACCTTTCTCTCCGACCTGGGGGTTTGGACTCGAGCCAATGACTGTGGCGCTTTGTTCGTGCTTCTTTGTGCGTTTGGAAGCGTGTCACGTTTGCGAGTTTGGATAGACAAGCTGACTCCATCAACGAAACTGTCTGACGGTTGATTCGCCTTGATCGTCAAGTCTTCCTTTAGCTTGAACTGTCCTTCTCTAGACGATCCTCTCGATTTCGTTCTGGGCTGCCCCTCGAGCTCGAGGGCGCCAGATATCAGGATCCGCCCAATAATACGGGCACTCGATCTGCCCTCATAAAACAACTCGAGGGCGAAATGAACCTGTCCAAGCCCGTCAGCCAGCGCCAGCAGCTTCCCCCCCTTTGGAGGAGCTTGGTCAACTCTGTTCCTCTCCACCAGGCCGTGCGCCGTACATATCTAGTATGTTTGAATCAAACGTGACACTTTGATGTTGGGAGTATTTCGTTTCAGCTGTCGCCAACCCCAGACAGACATGACGGACATGAATGGGGTAGGGTACAGTACCTACCGTGCAGTGCCATAGCAGACGGGCCGCCAGCAAGAGCAGCAGCAAAAAGAGGAACGCAGACGGTATGAGACTCGAGCACACACGGATACTTCTAGCGGCCGTCCAACGACGGATGGACGCCAGCCCATGCGGCCACCGCCTCAACCTTGATCGAGAGGAGGAGGGGTCGCCACACAAACCGGCCACACTGGGCTGGAGAAGCAAGGAAGCAGGGAGGGACCCTTACTGCACTTGCACTGTAATAGAGTCCGGGCGATGCGTGGGCGAGCAATGCATCTAATGTCCTGACGGTAACACAAACGGCTGCCCAGCCGGGCATTGCTGTACGGTTACGTATGTAGGTAGGTAGGCAGCAGGAGAGTGAGGCAATCAATCGTAGATGTATTTTCAACACTCACAGCAGCGTGTTGCGCAGGCAGTGTGTGGCGGAGGAGGACGAGGAGAAGAAGCACAAGTGAATGAGATCCATGTACAGCGCGGGTACCATTTCAGGGCTAGGCGGCCTCTAGGCTCAGGCCCAGGCGCCCTGCCGACACGCCCCGTAGTCTCTTTCGGTCTAGCGCGACTCTGCCCAGGTGCCTTATCCACATTGGAAGTCCACTCTACTTTGCTTGACCTCCATTCACTCATACCGATGAGTGTCTCCCATCTCGTGTCAAGAGACTCGAATCCAAACAATCAAGCAGTATCTTCCACGAGTGCAATGTTTGGTAGATTAGATAGCAGTTGTACCGATACTGCCACATTTTCTGTCCCCTCGCCGGCTGACAGACGCTGGGTCAAACGGGGCGTCTCGTGCCTGGATTTACACGTCTGCCGCAGCAGCTTGTGGCCCAGTTGATCTCATCTTGCTTCCCTCCTCCCACGTCCACGTCCGCTGACATTCACTTTTCTTCCCCTCAACTCTCTTTCCTCTATCGCTCGCTCTCCCCGCGTCAATCTCAATTATCGGCGAACACGCGAAACCCTCTCGCTTCCATCATCATCTCGTCCACCTTTTTGTAATCATTACCTACGGATACTTCATTTCTTGCCCCAGGAGGGAGGGACCTTTGCTTGCGACAGACACTCCACCCATCCTGCTCCAACTCGGCAGTCGCCCTGACCCTGGGCCCCAAGAATTTCCGCCTACAGGCTAGAGAGGTACGGCTACCGAGTACAGGTACAGGTACCTCAGGTAGCTCCCAGCCCGGGCAGGTTGGCTTGCCTCGACCAGGGGGGCCCTGGCGCCGCCAAAATTCCACACCACACATTACCACCTTCAACCCCCAACCCAAGGCGCTTGCGACCTTTTCCACCAAAACAACACCGCTCTGGGTCGACCAGCGACTCCCCTCTTCTCCCAGACGGTTTGACAAACGACCATTTCGTCGACCATTTCCCTTCTATTTCGACTTCTTTTTTTCTGTTGGAAACGAGCAAACCGACGACGACCCTTGCGGCGAGCCGGCCCGACCCATTTTATCTTTACCAACGAAGACGCACCGCACCTTTCACGCCTCGACACGACGCTGAATCGCCCTCGCAATCCTTCCCGCATCCACCGTCGCCGCTCGTTCCTCTGGACGTTTCAACACCACTCACGCAAGGTGTTGATAGTTTTAACGACTTGTTACTTCGCATAAACTCTCTGCATACCGTTGTGTACTCTGTATCGTCCTCGCGATCGTACCGAGCCGCGAAGCTTCGACCCATCGCGAACCTGGTGCTCTTGATCGAAGCCGCTTCTTTGCCAAGTTCCTCTCCGACCCCGAACACGCGACACGCCTTCACAGTTGGGAGTTGAAAGTGGTCGTCGCCTTGCCGAACAACTGGTTGCCTCTTTATGGACCGCCTTGCATCCCACTAGGCAACCCACAGCCCTTTGACGGCTATCCGCCTCGTCACCAGACACACTTCAAAACTTGGCCGACAGCACCTATCTGCCTTGTTAACGCTACTCCTACATCGCCGCGATCTGGGTTTCCCCTGTATCCACCGCCGAGACCGCTAAATTACTTTTCATCTCGAACTATCGTACGCGAGCTGCATATACCACAAAACCTAGATTGGATCTCGCCGAATCGCTTCCCCTGCGGCCATGGCGGCCAACATGCAGCACATGGCTGGGGCCGGCCAGATGATGCAGCAGCAGATGAGGAAAGGGTCTCACCCTCAGCTCCAGCAGATCGTGTATCAGAACCTGGTCCAGCACACACAACCATTCACCAGCCTATGCTGGCAGTCCAATGTCACTGTCCTTGACCGTCTTGGTAAAACCATGAACCTGTAGGTCTGCCTGGATACCGTGTTTGAGACACGAGTCCACTAACGAATACTAGCATCACCAACATTGCACTCGCCATGAACGGTTATGATCACTTGAAGGCAGCCGAATTTGGCTGCAACTTTGAGCGCAGCGTGTTTCACGAATCCCCGACAAAGGTAAACCCGTCCCCTGCCGACGGCAACACCGATTTTACTCGGACAATGTATTAACTGATATTTTAGGAAGCTTACGAGCGGGAGATGACCAACAAGATGGTCGAGTTTTACAAACAACGAGAGGCCAACGGAACCAACATTACGAACAAACTGAACGCCAACGCGCAGGCTCAAGCCCAAGCTCAAGCCCAGGCTCAGGCTATGATGCAGATGCAGATGGGACGCGGAATGGGGCAAGGCCCTCAGCAAGGCTTCCAGCCGATGCAACACCAGCTCCAGCCCGGTCAGATGCCCCAGCAACAGCAACAAATGCCGATGGGCATGAACATGGGAGGCATGGGCATGCCGAACCAAGCAGGTCGCGGGATGGGCCCGAATCAACAAATGATGGGAATGCCAGGAGGACAGAACCGACAGCAGGCTTTCCCTCAAGAAATGGCGCGATTATCAGCACAAGACAAGGCCAAGGTTGCCGAACTTGCCACAAAGATCATGAGCAATGCCACTGAAGAACAGAAGAGCGCGACCAGGATGCAACTCTCAAAAGGACTGAGTCCCGCTCAACTTGCCGAGTTTCAAGCCCAAGGGAAGGATCCGTTAATTTGGTTCTATCAAAACCATGCTTTCCAGATTCTCAAAAACAACATGGGCCGACTGCAGCAGCAACAGCAGCAGAGAGGTCAACCGCAGCAAGGCATGGGCCAGAACCCTAACAACCCCCAGGCGGCTATGATGCAACAGCAGGCAAGCCAGAAGTCCCTTCACCAGCAGGGCCAACAACCCCAGCCTCAACCTCAGCAACAGCTCCCCCAGCAGGGTCAGCAGCAGGGCCAACAGCAGCAAGGGGTCAATGGCGCGCAAGGAGGAAATGACTTTACCTCGTTCACTCCTAACATGGACAGTATCAAAGACCAGCAGATGAACGGTCTCATAGCCCAGCAAAACGGTCAGATGGTTGTACCCGCGAGCAGCGGACCGAACCGCAATCCTACACCGCAGCCCATGGGCCAGAACATGCCTAACCAGCAAGGTCCAAACCAAGGCGCCCGTCCCCCTCAGCAACAACAGCAGCCACAGCAGAATGTGAATCTCCAGCAGATGAAGATGAACCAGGCCGCTCAGTCCCAGAGCCAGGCTCACATGAAGTCGATGCAAGGCCAGGCTGGCGTTGGTGGAAACATGCAGCCTTCTCAGAGCCCTGCCATGAATACCCTCAATACTCCTGTTTCGCGACCGCCGAACGGCATGAACCCGATGGGCAACCAAGCTGGCGTCCAGTTTGGTGATCAACGGTTCAATCAGGGAGCTCAGAGACCAAACAACCAGGCCTTCCAGAACATGCTCGCCAACCTTTCATCAGAACAGCGTGCGACCATCAGCGGTTTGGCTCCGGATCAGCTCAACGAGGTGATGCAACGATGGCAGAATCGGCGACAGGAGAACATGGCAATGAATGGCCAGGGCAACCCGGGGCAGATGCAGAACCGACCTCCAGGCCAGATGGGCCAGATGAACCCCAACATGGGTGGGCAAATGCCTGTCGGCATGCAACAGCCTGGCGGCCCGATGAACGGCAACCAGCCACAGATGCCAATGCGTATCCAGAACCCACAGGCGGTCGCCATGATGGACACGATGGATTTGCCTCCTCAAGTTCTACAACATCTGAACCAAGTTCCTCCTGAGGTTAAGAAGTGGGGGCAGCTTAAGATGTGGCTCAACCAGAACAATGTTGGTCAGAATGTTCGCAACCAGTTGGCAACTGTGCAACAGAGGCAGTTCCAGCTCATCCTCCAGAGGCGCAATAACATGATGCCACAGCAGCAGCAACAGCAACAGCAACCGCAGCAGCAGCCTCAGCCCCAGCCTCAGCAACAACACCAACCCCAGCCGCAACAACAGCAGCCTCAACCCCAGCAGCAGTTGCAGCTACAGCAGCAGCAACAAGCAAACCAGCCGCAGGCACAACAGCAACCGCAGCCTGGCCAGCCTAACAATGCGAACCCTGGCATGCAAAATCCTGGTGGAGTTGGACCTGTTCCACAGATCCCACGGCAGCAAGTGGCCATGAACGTTCCACCCCAATTGCTTCAGGCTACTGCCCAAGACCTTGCGCAAGTTAGGAGCCAAAGGCCAACACTGGCCAACATCCCAGATGAACAGCTGCGTGCTATGGTCATCCAGATGAAGAAGCATTCTTGGATGCAGCAGCAACAGTTGCGAAACCAGGCGCAAGCCCAAGCTCAGGCCCACGCACAAGCCCAGGCGGCTCGCAACCAGGCCCAAGGTCAAGGCCAGCAGCCTGTTCAGAACCAGATGGGTGTTCCTCAAGCGCAGATGCAGATTCAGCAGCCGCCACAGCCCACTCAGACTCCACAGCCCCAGAACATGCAGGTGCCAGATATGGGACAAAATGCTACTCCTCAGACAACTGGCCAGAGGCAGCCGAGCGCGACCCCCGAACAGACACGAGGTCCTCGACAGCAAACGGCCAACAACCGGGCCCAGCCTCCCAATCCATCACCGGCGTCAGCCCCAAAGAACCTGAAGCGACCCAGCAACGATGAGAATACCGACGTTCCTGAACCTGCCAAGCCAGCACCGACAAGACCTGCTTCTCAGCCGAACCAACAACAGCAAATGCCTCAGCAGCAGCAACAACAGGGACCCAAGCAAATGCCGAACCTTGCTTCGCTCTCACCAGAACAAAGGGCCAAGTACGAGCAGTTGATGAGAATGCAGATGGCGAACAGGATGGGCAACCAGGATGAGATGGAGCGCCTCAAGGCAATTGGACAAGAAGAGCAGCGGCAGGCGTTGCAGGAGCCTCTGACCGACATCCCTATGTCGCCACAGGAGCATGCTGAGACGGCGAACAGACTGCAAAGGATTGTCCTTGACATGAACAAGATTGGTCGTGGGCTGCGCAAGTGGTATAGCGTCACTCGCGATGAGGCGCGTGCTAGGATGTTCTTCCGAACAGTAAGTTCTGATAGCCCTTATGAGAAGGATTGTGCTAACTCGATTCAGCGATGGCGGATCATGAAACAGTTTGCGGACGGTGAACAGATGAAGGTGCTCAAGGAGACATTCAGCATTCGGTGTGCTGAGATCGACCAGGCTCGGGCGATGCTGGAGAGTATGGCTAAGGATCTCGCTGCTAGTGTTTACGCATCTCAAAAGTATGGCGAGATGCAGCGACAGCAGCAGGCACAGCAAGCACAGCAGGCGCAGCAGCAGGGTACTCCTCAGGCCCAGAACGCCCGCCTTGCTCAGCAGCAACAGCCAGCGTCTCAGCAACAACAGCAGACACAGCAGCCGCAACAGGCACAGCAGCCTCAAGGAGGCCAACCAGTTGCTTTGAATGCTGAGAATCTGCGTAGAAACTCGCAGGCTCAGGCCACCGCCCCTAAGGGTGGCAACAAGGCCGGCCAAGCAGCAGGCGCTTCGACTACGGCCCAATCCTTCGCGTTTGGTGCCTTGTCACCTCACGGCAACCCCAACTACGGAAAGCCCCCCAAGGATATGAACCTCCAGATACCCCCTGCGCGCAAGAAGCAGAAGACTACCGGGCAGACACCGCAGGGCGCCACTCCATCGCCGCAAATCAGCAAGAAATCATCACCTGATATGCGAAGAGCGTCCGAGTCTCAGGCGCCCCCCAAGCCAGTACTTCTCTGCAAGGAGCCAGAATGCGAGCACTCGACTGTTGGCTTCCCTAACGAGCAGGCTCTCCAGAACCACATCCAAGAAGAGCACACCAAGCCGCATGAGGATCCTATGGGGTTTGTGCGGGACAACCTGGCTTTGGCTCTGGGTCTGGAACCCGACGGTACCGTGAAGAAGGAGAAGCTGGAGGCGCCGGCCATGAGCATGACCAACTCCAAGCAGGGTCAAACCCCAGCTACCATGACGGCGACGCCCATGTCTGGCGATGGGATGAAACGATCGGCTAGTAGCATGGGCAAGCCCCTAGACAACAAGGCGGGCAGCAAGACTGGCGCTACGCCCAAGCCGGTAGACAACAAGGCTGTCGAAAGCATTGTCAATGACCCATGGGCCGGCTCGACGATTGATCCTCAAACTCTGATGCAGAATCTGGGTCTCGAGAAGGGAATGGGAGTGGGCTTTGGCGGCACTTTCGACCCAACTCTCTACCGATCGACGACACCCAATGACACACCAGATTCGGCCAAGGAGGGCAGTGAACCAAACAGCGACATTTCGGAAGGCGTAAGCCTCGACATTGGACTTGGCTGGGCGAGCCTGGAGCCTGACATGCTTCTCAACATGAACATGGGCAACGCCAGTCTGGACGGCAACGCTGAGCTGGACATGAGTGCTGTGCTTGAAGATGCGGGCCTGGACCCTTCGATGTTGATGGAGCCATCAAGACAGGCACCCGACTGGGACGAGGTTCAGGTGGACTTTTCGAAGCCTTTCCAGATGGATCCGAGCCATTACTTTATGGCAACGACTACTTCTTGAAGGTTCTTGGACATATGTGTATGAAAAGGAGAGTGAAGAAGACACGAGGCAATAATTGGGGATGATGAGTTTGACGGCCTCGGGATATATACCCCGGCATGACGACATGTTTTCTCGGTTTTTATTTGGCATGATTCAGCATTGTTTTGTTCTACTGTTTCTGGCATAACAGTTATGAAGGGGTGGCGGAAGTTGGCAAGGACTGAAAAGGAGTGAGGATAGGAAGGTGGCAAAAATATGCATTGAGGATGTTTTTCCTCGAGCCAGCCGTAGGACAGGTCAAGGCTCTGTGGGCACACGCATTGGGAGTTTTTGTGTTAGCGGATGATGCAGATGTTTTGCGATGTGGGAGGGATTCCTTTGACGGTCGCTGTTGGAGCACGTCGCCGGATTGATTTGATCAAGGTTATTCTAGATGTTTTGTATTCGTTTGGTGGTGATGAAGCTTCGGGGATACATAGGCTTGGAGCAAATGATACCCAGCGTTTTGCTATCATGACAGTTTGTACGGGTGTGATGTGCGTTTGCATGTTGTTGCTGTTTGATGTAACCGTATCTGGCCAAGCACGACCGAGTGCCGAGACGGACGTAGCTCCGGGTATGAGACGAGATCCCGCTGCCGGTCCCGTTCCTGCATCCGGGCCGCTGCCCCACGAAGCACGTGCGGCTCCGGAGAGCTAGGCCTATTACATGCTAGGTAGCAAGCTGGGTGGAGTCTGGAGTTGACGGGCAGCTGGCGGGAGTTATGTAATTTGCGCTAGTCTAAATCAGGAAAATTGTAAATAGAAGGTTGGTTATTCTTAAGTGCTGGAAGGAAGAACCGACGCGACGTGTTTGTGGAGCCACGAAACTTCTTAGTTTCGGTCTCGTTGAATGAACCCAGATGGCCAAAGAGGCTGGGTTGGGGTTGAATAGAGGGACGACCAGTTTTGGAGGCCCGAGATGATGGTTAACGACAGGTTGAGAGCGAATGAATTGTGCTTTTTAAGGTTTGATGTGATGATGGACGGGACATGGTGACACATTCTGTTGATGCATCATTTATTTATTTATTAGGCATTTGTTTGTTTAAGAATATGTTTGTTGACCAAGGAATTGAGTGAATTAAGAGTAACACGTCCCCCATGTCTCGTGCCTTTGTCGACTCGCGACAGCGCCGCCCGCCCCTCGTTGGGAAATTCTTAGTCTAGCAAATTCTTTATCTTATCGCCGCCGCGTGTATGTGCCCATTCAAATACCTTACACCTTACCCAGTAATTCAATCTAACTACACACGCTCTCTCATCAGACGCGACTACAATCCTCCCACTTGTTCTCTTTTTTATAGTTTGACCAAGAAGATTCTTTTTTATATACCCCGTCTCTATTACCTATTTGCTCTTCTTTTGTTTGCAATGGAGACTTGTTCACCTAGCAAGCGACGCGCGCTCGCTCCCCTCGACTCCAACGCGCTGGCCCCAAAGACACTGTTCAAAGCCCCCACGGCAAACACCTCGAGCGGCATCAGTCCCGTAAAGATGGCCATCGAAGGGAGGAAGAGACTTCTCGAGATGGAGAGCGCGGCGGCTGCTGGTCCAGCGGGGAAGAAGGCGTGTCTAGGACGTGACGAGGTATGTTGGGACAGAAAGGACTATCATGACGTAAAGACATGGCTAACACTGGGTTTTTTTTCAAGGACGCGTCTGAGAGGAGTAATAGTCCCGATGTCAGTTCTGTATTCGACACGTCTGCCGGCGACGCTTCTTGGGCTACGGCTGCTACTGAACACGACGGCGCTACAACGGTGGCTCGTACATCGACATCAGCACCCGCATCACCAGCACCTACAAGAGGAACCCTAACGCGGCAACAAGTAAGACAAGTACGTTTTGACACCAAACCAACAAACCAACTGTTTAAATACTGACAATGACTAGAGAGCAGAGACCCTTCGACTCCGACTCAGCCTCGCAAACTACAAGCTCCGCACAGGTCAGACGGCCGTGCCCCTCGCTGAGCTGCAGCGTCGTCCCCTCCTCCCGCGCGCCATCAACGTTCGGTCGCCGACGCCGCCACCACCCGCTGCGGTTCCCGAGTCTGAAATTGGGGAAAAGGACCGTCGGTCTTCGACGGATTCTCAGCGGACAGAGGTTATGCCTTCTGAAGGAGAAGAAGAGACAAATCAATGATGAAATTCGCTACAAAAACAAAAAATCTTTGGGCAATGGAGTTCTTTGCTTCTTTTTTTTTTTTTCTTGGGTGGGCGGAGTTTTATGGGCTGTTTCATCTCATCAGCGTGGCATGTGGGCAAAGCGAAGCGATGAAACAGGGAGGGCATCTTTTTTCCAAGAGGTGATTTTCCTCTTTGTACTGTGATGGGGGACATTGGGGCATCACAACATATCTATCTGGACCAAAAGTTCCAAGAGATATCCCATGGCGTTATAAGGGTGGGCTCATGGCATGCGTGCATCCTTTTTGGGAGGGAGGGCGGAAGGGCTTCCTGCCACGATATCTGGACATGTCTGGAATCCCATGCACATAGCGGTTCAATTGCTTCAATGATTTAAACTATTCATTCACTATATTCGTAGTCTCGTTCAACGTCTTCTGACAGGGTACCAAATCTTGGTCTTCGTCCTGGTATCTCCTCAACTCCATCCACCATACGTACCCCGCCACCTCAACTCCAGTACAACTCCAGTATCCCAACTCAGTAACGCTTAGTCTACAAGGATCTTGGGCTCCAAAGATCCATACTTCTCAAAGAATTCCTTGAACAGCCGGATACCGTAGCCAACATCCGCAGTACCACCCGTCTCGCGAATGCTGTGCATGCTGAGCTGCGGGTTGCCAAGGTCGAGCGTTCGCATGCCCAGCTTGGCAGCGAGGCCGGGTCCGATGGTGCTTCCGCATGGCGAATCGTTGCGCACGACAAAGAGCTGAAGGGGCACACCGGCTGTGCGGGCGCACTCCTGGAGGAGCACGATGCCGGGCGAGTTGGTGGCGTAGCGTTGGTTGGCGTTGATCTTGATCACAGTACCGCCGTTCATGGCTGGCTGGTGCGACGCCTCGTATTTGCCAGCATAGTTGGGGTGAACAGAGTGCGCCATGTCGGCCGACACGAGGAATGACCGCGACAACGTCTGCTCGTATGCCGTCGCCTCCTCACCTTCGTGGTGGACAGCTTCATAGCTGCCCTCGCTGGCAGTGTCGCGGTTTCCAGGGAGGACGGAGAGACGGCGTATAACGGATGGCAGCAGGTTGGAGTTGGCGCCCTGTGCCGAGGTCGAACCAATCTCTTCGTGATCAAAGCAGACGGTCAATCGGATGGTGTTGTCGTCCTCGAGAGCGTCCTCCTCCTTGACCGACTCAATAAGACCCTCCACTGAGCAGTAGGTCATGCCAAGGTTGTCGAGGCGAGGGGAAAAGATGAATTCGTCGTTGATACCACCAATGCACGACTTTTGAGTATCATAGAGCACAAGCTCAAAGTCCACCACAGAGGCGACATCGACTCCAGCCTCAGAGGCAATGACGTCAAGAACGGTGGGGTGGTGTCGTTCCGTCATGGCCTTGAGAGGCTTAAAGTCTTCCTCCTCTGCCTTCTCTTCGCCCTCGTCCTTCTTTTCCTCATCCTTCTCCTTCTTTCCTCCCTTGTTCAGCTCGGCAGCTGCAAGACCTGTAATTGGGAAAAGTTCCGTCTCCTTGTTAGGATCGAAGTTGCTCTGTCGGTGAAGGTGGATTGCTAGGGTCGGGATTCTCAACAGGGGCTTGTCGACCTTGATAAGCTTCTGAACAAAGTTGTCGCCCTCCTTGACTAGGACACGACCGGCGATACTGAGGTCGCGGTCGAACCATGAAGTCCAGATACCACCACCATATGTTTCAACGCCGACCTGGAGGAAGCCAACGTTGGACTTCTTGGAAACTGGCTTGACTCGAAGGCAGGGGGAGTCGGTATGGGCGCCAACGATGGCGACGGGATTACCGGGGCGCCATTTGCGGCCGATGGTAAAAGCGACGATGGTCGAGGCGTTGCGGGTGAGGTAGTACTTGCCGCCGGGTCGGAGAGTCGAGGCCCACGAGTCACGCTCGCGGATGAGGGTGAAGCCGGCCTTTTCGAAGCGAGCCGAGGCGGATCGGACAGCGTGGTAAGCTGCAAAGCAATATTAGCGGGAGAATGTCAGTGGGAGCAGGGTTGAGGAGGCTCTAACGGGTAGGCGACTCATTGACAAAGTCAACAAAGTCGAGAGCTTCTTGAGGAGGGGCCATGCTGGGCAACGAAGTCGAGAAGGATGCGATGAATGCGATAGATGGTCGTGAAGAAGATGCAATTGTGATTCTAGAGGGAAGAAGACGACGTGATGAGATGCGGGAGAAGGAGAGCATCTGGCGGAGATGGAGGAGGAGAAAGAGTCTAAGAGGTTGGAGATAGGTACATCAATTGAAGGTCGTTGGAATGGTCATGGTCGGTCAAGTCATGTGGTTGGTCAGTCAATTGAACCTGGTCCAAGCTTCGGTACGTACCCGCTCACCGACCGGGCGGAGGAGGCGGGGCTTCCACTCGCCCCGCGGTGGATGAGAAGCACTCATGGTGATGATTTGATGGCCATACTTTAACCCTGTTTTTCTCAGGCTAGGGATCAATAGTATCCAGTACGCCAAGTTACTTCTTTTCTTCTGACAGTCAATGTTGTCTAAGCATTATGGCAGGCTTGAAGAGCAAACTCACCATGTTCCCCACCACTAACACGACAACCTCGGTTGCAAAGGATATGTGCTATCTGGGAAAACAAGCTTGAATCATCACTATCATGAAAAACAGAACAAAGGAAACAGAAAGGTTGACGCTGGTGATGATAGGCTATAGTTTCTGCCCGACAGAAATCCAATATATCTTCCAAATCCCCATGCCAAGTTGCACCCCTCGTCTCGCCAGGCATGATGATTCTTCTTGACCGGCTACTCCGGAAAAGATGACTGCATTTCTAGAATGGATATCATGGCCATGCAGTGTGGTTCTGATCTAGAAACCGAGATGAGAGTATTAGTACAACTTCTCACCTGTCGCCACCCCAAGGATATCAAAAGAAGCATGGAAGAAGGGTGTCCCCTAGATTTTTTGTTTTTATGTTTTATTCCATGTATAAAATCCTAACCCGTTAAATCCCGTCTAATTCCATGCAGTAAATTCCCGGTCATTAGAGACCCCCAGATATCTAACCATCCCGATGTGATGGCCCTGTCATACCCAAAGCTCAATGGTTGATATTTGCACCAGAGCTACCAATACAATTCTAACAAAATCAAAACCAAGACAAACGAAAACCAAATCAGCGCGCTAATCTCGCCAAGACAAAGAAAATATCATCCCCGGAGCGGTCGGCTGACTGCTCCAACAGCGCAAGCATAGACGACTCTTCGATCGTGACACTTTTGATCATCCTCGTAGACCCGGCAGCAGCTTGTCTTTAAAGATTTTGGTTGATCACGGTGCCATCGGAGCTGCCGCGGAGGCTGGAGAGTGTGACACCCTTCTCGCTCTCGGAAACAGCGTTGGTGTACTCGGGCTTGTTGAAGACGAGACCAGGGTGGCCGAAGCAGAGAGCGATGGCAGCAAGAACAATCATGATACCCTCGAGGATGATGAAGGGGATCTCGTGCTTGATAAGTTCACCATCGTAACCATCCTTAAGCTCGGCAACACGGTAGATGCATCGAGTGAGGATAAGGATGATGGCGGCAGAGAGGCCGGCAAAGAAGGCCTGGAGGCGCCAGCCGAAGTTGGCGGCGCGACCAGAGCGCCAGTAGCGAATCATGTAGTCGCTGAAAGCGACGATGAAGAGGAAGAGGATGATGACCTGCAGGATCAGACCAGCCATAGAGATGTCAACACCAACGTCACCGTTGTCGGACGAGGTGGACATGGCACCACCGGCGGCCTGGAGGATGAGGCAGACGATATCGAAGGGGATGAAGATCCAGTAGAAGAGCTGGGGCTTGAAGCGAGAAAGCTCAGGGGCGAAGAAAACGATCGTCTTGGAGAGGGTGACATAGATGGACGCGGTGTAGAATACGGGAGCGATGGTGAGGCAGACTATGATTGTTAGTTAAGAATCCACAAGAAGGGGGTTTGTCTAGACTTACCAATCTGAATCATGAAGGCGTTGAAAGAGAAGGGGTTGTTGTACATCATGACACGACCGACATAGCCAACAACCTCTGACAAGCAACCCATGAGCATACCGGCCATGAAACCCCAGGCCTTCCATCGGAAGCCTAGGTAGGCATGGGCGAGACCGATGACTCCGAACAGAGCGATAAAGGCAATGTTGGCAGCCAGATCGGGTCGGTAGCCGAGAAGACTCCACTCAACCTTGCAGTTGTCGAGTGTGCAGGGCGAGTCGGAGCCGAAGTAGTCCTCGGGAGGGATGGAGTAGTTGTAGTTGGGCATGTTGGCGGTTTGAAGTGTTGATGTCGAGGGTGAGAAAGAGGGAGTGGGTGTTGGTATATATATGTTCGTCCTCAGCAAAAGACGAGTCTAAACGAGTGCGAAAAAGATGATGAGATGAGATGTAGGGAATTAAGCTTATTGAGAAGCTCTTGGGAGTGGATTGCTGCTGCTGCTGGATGGGAATGAGAGACGGGAATGGACGAGTTGATATAGACACGGTAGAGCCGGCAAGCTGTTGTGTGGGCTGTATAAGGCTGGGGGAACGGACTCGGTAAACACGGTTACTATGCCATGCCCTACGGCACTGGGATGGATCCCCCTCGTCCCAGGCCCACGGACCCATGACGAGGCTCATACCGCTCGCATCTCGCATCTCGCACAAAAGCCTTGAGACGACTAACAGCGAGATGGGTGTCCGCGGGGCGCGAGTGGCTTCTACCAACCAACAAGCGGGTCTCCAGCGCGGGTACAAGCCTCAATGGGTTACACTGGCCTCTAAATTAGGGGCCTGTCAGCGGAGGAATGTCCAGGATGTTGTGGATCATCGGATTTGGACGATGGATGTTGTTCCAAAGAGGTTGATCTGTGCGGTCAAGGTTGATTTCTAAAGATGGTGTTGCCTAAGATTTGATCCCCTGGTATGTCAGCCATCTACGCCAGCTACACACGCGGCATCGAGAGACTTCCGTCACATCGAGAGATTCTTGGTCACATCGAGAGATTTCAGGTGAAGGCAGAGAAAAGTACAGTAGCCGCTAAGCTCAAGAGGCTTTGACGGGTGCGAGGTGCGAGTGCGAACAAGGGCCTACGGATCTGCCCTTTTTTTATTCCCTACCAATGACAGCATCTTGCACAGCCCGGATCTTCCGTAGGGCAGTGAATTTTAATCAATTTTCTTTTTTCTTATTGGTTGAATCACCATAATCGTCGCGTCTCAGTGCTTGCGTCAGCCATGAGAAAAGACCTGTTTTCCCCTTTCAGGTAAGATACGGTTCTTTGACAACCAACAACAAAATTTCCATCTCTTGAGGCTCCCTTCGCGAGGCTCCCTTCGGTGGCTGATGCAATCCCCGTCCTTGTCGATCTCCTTTTTTTCTGAATTTGGGCACTTTATTCAATGTCTCAGATGCAAACTAATGTCCTTTCTATCCCCAAAGTACTAGAAGCTGAAAAATTATCTTACATGAAGCGCAGCTTCACACCCAAAAGAGGTGTGTCTGTCTGACGACAGCTGCTTCGTGTCATCACATCACCACGTCTCGTCAATCTTACTCGACCAAGCCACGCGCCTAGATGAAACGAGGCCTGATTAAACCAGCCCTAAGGTGATCGACGAGCGTTGATATCCAACGAGGCGTTTGCACTGCCCTGTGAGTCGCACTCGCTCAATCAAACGATCTCCATGCAGCATCTCCAACGGGCAATTCTTGCTGACACCTTCAGAGTCGCTCCGTAAGCCAGCAAAGACATGAAGCGAAGCGAGAAGTGGAGCCCCTAACTTTTTCTAAACACGCAGACACGTCAAACAGGGTGCCGAGTGCGAAGAGAGTTTTTTTTTCCTACATCCGACTCCGTACCGTATCTCGTTCAGCGTCCAAGTCCGTGTCCGTGTTGTTGCCCCGCACTCCGCCTCCCCGTGTCGGCCGTTATCTATATTCTCCGGCCCGGCGGTGCATCACGTTGAGCTCCGCCCCGGCCGCCTCTTAAATCATAGATATTGATTATTTCCCTACGAACATGTTTGGCGAAGGATTTTGGCTTCTTGATTACGCAAGTATCATCCCCGCGCAATTAATGTTACTTACACCGACTTGGCAACCACCGCGCGAACTATCCCACTTTCATGAATGGCTGTGTGCTTACGGAGTGCTCTGTGCTATATCCCGCTGTTCTCGCATCGATAACACCCAGGTTTTCTTATTATTCATCTGTATCAAGCTAAGATTTCTCAGATCCTATCCTGTCCGACCGTTCCATTTTATCGCACTCGGATCCATCCATGATGCAATAATCTTCCCCTCTCATTGCAGACCTTGAACCCTTTTTGTTTCGGCGCTACGATATACAGAAACCCAGACGAGTTACCACAACGCCTCACGACAATTCCATTTCGTCCAACCTATCTACCGATCCCACCGCGCTTTTGGTCTATTCCTCTACTTCCTCACAATACGCCCAGCAGTCAAATATGAACTTTGATATGCAAAATAAGCTGAGAGCATCATTGGTATTTTATTACCCTTATTTTCCACCAAATTTTTTCAACTTTCGAACTCGAGCCAATTATGTTATTCCTGGCGCCATGTTACATCCTCTTCCCGCCAAGATCTTGGCTCCGAGAGCATACACCCTGGATTGCCATATTCGAGCACCCTGACCAATTGACACGATTTCCTCAACGCCAAGCTCTTGGCGATATGCTTCTCTCGACGGTCCAGCTGTCGTGGAACAGAATAACAGCGTTCTTCATCACGCTGCACAGTTCGGTATGGCTGACATATTGTCTAGAAGACTCCAAATCTTTTCATAATTGCTCAAAATGGTGGATATATTGCATTGCTCCCATGTCCATATGATCTACAGTCCCTTTACTACACCTTCCAATTCTTATGTAGAGTTGGAGTTATCAGCGCAGGACCAAGCCGCCGATCCTCCCGAGACCTTATAAGAGTCCATGATACCCACGACTGACCCGTACGTTCCGGCAACCATGCAAAAGGTTCCTGAGACGACAACAAAGACGCTCCAGCAGACCATCAGGTGCCACCTAAGGTCTCGGTCTTTCCTAGACCAGTTGTCGTATAGCCACATGCAGCCATAGGGCTGGAAGCACATAAAGGTACCAAGGAGAGCGCCAATCAGCGAAACAAGACCGCCAAATACAGGGATGGCACTGGCGATGATGTAGGCGATGATAGTGATGCCTCCAGTGCAACCCAGCCATGTTCCCCAATGCACTAGGGTGTTCGAGTTGAGGTGCTTAGAGCCGCGCAAGATTCGCACAAAGATGTACTTGGCAGGGACATGTGTCACGATCATGGCTGTGACGAGAAGTCCAGGAAGGGCGAAGCCGTAGCAGACCTTCTTCATGGTTGATCCAGCAGATCCCAGAGCAGGTGAGGCGACATAGGAGCCACAGTAGTAGTAGACAACAACTCCGATGGCGATATACGTGACAGTCACAACTCCTTGAGCACATAGGAGGGAGCGGGTGTAGTGCTTGGGCTCACGCATCTCGGCGGCGATGGTGAAAAACGCGGGTGTTCCTGAAAAGGCAAATATGAGGGCCGAGATAGCAGAAATGCCATCGACGAAGCTCGGCGTGTTGGTGAGCTTGTAATCAGACACCCACACCCCTCCCTTGGGTGCGGCAGCAGGGCGATCCTGTAAGCCGACGGCAACAGTCACGGCAAAGACTATCAACCGTTAGAAATACTTTCAATATTTTCACCCAATTAGGACAACTCACTTGCAGTCATGATGCAGACAAGTCCAATCCAGGCGAGCCAACCGATTTTGCCAAGGGTTCGGATGCTAGCAAACCCAAAGGTGGCGACAGCAGCAACGGCGACAAAGACAGCAGTGCAGGCGGCGTGTGTTGAGACAGCATTGAGGCCGATTGAAATACCCAGCATGGCAGAGCCCGATACGAATATCCAATCTGATATCATTAGTGGGATTCTTTTGCAATGAATCGTACCTAGGTACTCACAGAACATAAAGATGAGAGCAAAGACCTCTCGGCCGATCTTGCCAAACATCATAAAACCGGCATCGTCAAGTCCATAAACTTCAGGGTGTCTCTTCTTGAATACACCAATCATATAGTCAGACCAAGTGGTGATTGCAGAAATCACAACGAGGCAGATGACTCCAGGGATAAGACCGAGAGCGTCGAAAGTGGCAGGAATTGACAAGACACCCAGGCCGATCTGAGTTTTGGTCATGAGAGCGATGGTTGCGATCCATCCAACCTATGTTTGAAATATTAGCCTCGATGACAATTCTGTTGGGGAGATTCGAGGTGAAGCGTACATTGCGGTAGTTGGGGCCATCTTCTGTGACTTCTCCAAAGACAGCATCTTCGACGTGTGAAGAGGCATAGGTAGAGCCATTTTGTGAAGGAGGACTCTGGAGTCCATCAGAAAAGCCCTCAGAGTCCTGGGCAGGCTTCTTCTCCTTGAACATTGTGGGAAAGTTCTGAGAGGGCGATGTGGGAGCAGATGTATAGGAGTGGCTCAAGTGAACATTTGGTAGAAAAAGGAGCAACCCTGGAAGGTCTGGAACAGCTGGAGACAACCTGGGGGAGTCCGCCCTAGGGATGGGACTCGTGTGATTTATTCTGGGGAAAAGAGGAGCTGATGGGGTAGAGCTGGACTGGGGAGTTGATACAACAAGCATGAATGCTGGGGAACAAGACCCTTTTTAAGTCGTTAGATTTTGGTGTTCAGACATTGGATGGAAGAGGTAACCCCACAAGATGGCTTTCACATTCCCCAGACCCCACAAAGAGTATGGCCAAGGAGAAGCTGGGTAGAGATCATGACAACCAGGGTGGTGAAGTGCGCGGAAGGGCGTGTGAGTGTGGTGGAGTAGGTTGATTCATGTAAACCCTGCAGAACAGAATTCTTCTCGTAATGGAAATACCCCAGATGAGCGAATTTCATGGGCCCCAGGGTGCCTCCATGACCTCATCGTGTCTCCAGAGTCAACTCTCACGAGTCGGTGCTGGTCCAGGGACTCGGGAGAGGGTGAATGGTGGAGTATCGGATGGGGAAAACTGACATACCTGGTCCCACCTTCCCTGAAGAGGATGCTCAGGGACACTTCCCCACTCTCCCCAGGCTCTCAGGCTCCTTCAACATTTTGCTCTGGGCTTCTCGGGCGAAGAACCCGAGATGCTCAGTGGACAAGACAAGCCGTTCAAGGCTGTTGAATAGGTATAAGGCAATGTTAGATCCCTTCCATTGCTCCCACCATCTTCAAGCTCTGTCTTACACACTAACCAGGTAACGGTAGATTCTGGAGTGAACCCTGCGGGGTCAGGGTTCTTTCCCGTCCCAAAGATTGGAGAAGGTGTGCGACCAAGTCAGTTTTGGAGAAAACGAGGCGTTTCTTCCTTGAGCCTCAACGAAAGACCAAACCAAGGTCTTTGGCGTTCACCGAAGAACAAGCCGGTCTCGTGATAGGCTAGATCCTCTTCCGCTTCTTTTCTTTTTCTTCACCTCTGACTCTCACCATGTTAGCATGATGTCATCCTTTCCAGTCGCCTTGGCATTGTCGTTGCCACCAAAGAATGCGGCTACGCTAAACTCGTCAAGGACTGGCCTCGGGAACGAACCCGAGATGGTGTCGATGTTTACCTTCACCAGAGAAGCCGACGTTGGAGGCTAACGCACGCACGAGCCCTTCGAATCCACTCAAAGAGACCCCGAGCTGACATTTCAACGTTGGACCATACGCAGACCGTAAAACGACGTTGTTGGCGACGTCGTGCGGGACTCGTCCGGAGTCTCCGGACTCTCGGGGTCTCTCTCTTTCTCTTCCCCATTGGGACAAGCCGCATGACAGGCTAGGGATGACTTCATTGCTACCAGGTTCCACAGCACAAGACATATCCCAACTTCAAGATCTACGCTGTTTGAAAACCCGTCTTCTCCCGGGCGAGTCTGCATCTCAGCAGCCAAAGGAACGATGAACCGTCTACTAGATGAAACTACAAAGACCAGGCATGAACCAATATGCAAGCAGATTTACACAGAGATCCCTTCTAGAACGTTTCCAGAACAAGGTGAAACACGGATGATCACTGCTCGGGATAGGAAACCGAGAGCAGTACATTATCCAAGCTTACCTAGACTATCGAATAGGAGTAAGACCCTTGCTAATATGCCTCAATAATTTCATGCAAAACACCGGAAATAATTCCACGGGCAGCTCTTGGATGAACAAGTGAGAGAAGGTGAACAACCCCAACTCGTCGGCATGGATATCCTAGTCCATTACCGGGTACGGAAAACAACTCGCCTAGACACCAAGTGGTTCTCATGAGAGCTGAAAACCACACGGGCCTCATTGGAGGCATGAATTCGTGGCAAATATCGTGAGGTAAAGCAAACCTGAGAGTGACTGGCCGCGTCCACTATGCGGAGCCACCCAGTATGACCCGGGTGAAGATAATGGCCTCTAGGATCCATTAAAGCAACCCTCGTCCAGCTTAGATGGCTCTGGTTTTCTGATATTTTGCCAAGAGACTCTTCGCTTGCGTACCCCGTGGGGCCATGGAGGTCTAGAATCGAAGCACCATCTCCCCAGGCCCAAGATCTAACCCCAGAGACCCAATCCCCATATCCCCTCGTTCCACCTCCCGGCTACCCCATCCTATTACTCCATCGTGGAGGCCCGGGCCCTTGCCTCTGGAAACTCAGAATATGGTGAGCGGGTCAGTGAGCTCGCTACCGTGGTCTCCTCAAGCTGGCTCGGCACTATGAGATGGATTCTGTCGTGTCTTGGCAATCCAATCATTCTCTCTCTTTTTTAAAGGTTACGAGTTTTTATAACGTCTCCTTCATCCCTTATACTTCTAACCTCTCACCTTTCGCCACAGACTCCCGATCCCTGCCAATCGATGGCACACCCGGCTCCGTTACCCCGTATCTCCCCGGCCGTTAACCCCTGAGCGCTTGCGACACCCTTCTCTATGCCATTCGGAAACACGTCCTTGGCTCAGGCATAATGTTGACAGATTTCTCTTCAAGCGTACGTTGGTTCGTCAGCGAACATGCATGTTGGAGGAGCCGGACGATTCCCAACATCATCTCTCTCGAGTAACACTCGTTGAGCAATGCTGTCACGGCGAGCAAGGGTAGTAAATTACGATAGTAGCTACTAACGCTAAATTCTTAACTACATATACGCCAGTTTCTGTCCCGAATTTGGCCAGAACCAGGTTATGCAGCAACTATGGTGGAGGGCCGAGTGGCGATCTCCATATCCCAGGAAGCCAATGCACGCCAGCGGGATGACCAAGGTTACTCTCCTCCGAACTGCAAATATGGAAGAAAGACCCTATTTCCAAGCTTCGGGATGGTTCGGAACTAGAGACATGAGTCAGACAAAGACACGGCACACCCGGCGGAACCGTGCAGGAGGAATCTCCAATGGACACAGCGGCAACACCCTCCTCTTCTGCAGTGCCATGGATCGAAAACATGGCTTAGTCAGTTTAGCCATCTAAAATGACTCTAGAACGTCAGGTTGAGTTGCAAGTTCTTTGGGGTCTGACGGAAGGTAGAGTTTTAGGAGCTGACATTAGAGGGCGGCCCTGATACCCGTTGCTAGAAGATTCAGGTGACCTTTCGACACTATGAGCTTCTTTTCGAAAGTACTGCAACAGTTTATGGCTTATCTCCTCCTCTGGATGGCTCGACCAGAGCTGTTCCCACCATGATGCCCTTGCTAGACGAGACTCCAGGACGTTGGACACTAGCTGACTGGATAGCACGACTCATTAGCCAAGCGTACAAAAATGACTCAATTATAAAGGTGAGATATCAGTGTTTTAATGTACTATGGCCTCGGTTGAGCACTTGATGGAGTCACCTCCTCAGTCGGCAGTGTGAGAGGATCAATGAAGGAATGACTGGACACTGGTTGCTGGAACTCAGCCATAATACCTCTAAGACCTCGGTTAACGACGTGAAAAATTGAATAAATTAAAAATTAGACATGGTGCCTCCATAGAATTTACTCTTTGTCTAACTATAACAGGTTTTCGCATCGCTACATAATGGATGGTTCATTGTGTACTGTTGTTGGTCGCTAGGTCGCCTACCCGGTACCACAGCTCATCGAGAGCACGCGACATACAACAAAGCCTGCTAAGAGACCATATCAATCAATTCGACGTGACTTGGGTGGCAGATACAATAGAATGCATAAAAGGAAACTACTTTCGGGGTCAGAAGTGAGTGGTGGGCTAAGAAAACTGCGAGTGGCCGTATGACGTCCAAAAGCAACCAATGGCATTTTCAACAACTTGCCACTCTTGATCACAACACATTCTCGACCCTGGCTGATCATGTAGCAGATAAGAGCAAAAATTGTGTTTTTCAAAGACAACCCTACAGGTTGATTCAAGGCGCGGGGTGGAATATCGTCAAGATCCTCTGAGTTGGCATACACACACCATCTTTGGAGAAGAGCTGCCAAGAGGGGACGATGAGAAAATAGGCAACTCAACGAGAAAATCTGCCCGGCAACACAAAATCGACGCTCTGAAGAGAATAGATAGAAATGCAGCACGTTTATGAGTTTTGAGCCGCCAATTGGACGATAAACTCCTTCTTCGGTGGTGGGTTAACCCGCTAGTGTTGGTAAGCCATTCCCGAGGATTGTCTTGGCTATTTTCTTACATACATGACGCGAGCAATTAAGCTTAACAGCCCTGGTGCGCCTCCGTAGAAGAGGGATGGAATAAGGAGTCGAAAAAGAAATAAAACCACCATCTAAGCTTATTGAAAAGGTAAACTCATGTGCTGCCAACTTCAAAAGTTAACGTGCGGAATAAAATTGATGATGCGTTGGACCACGCACCAGAACCTTCAACTCGGGGTGAGAACAGAGCCGTAAGTGCTAGAATAGGCTAAATGCCTCGGGCCAGGTCTGATCATTCCCCGGAGAGGAACTCTTGTCTGGGGAAGTTTCGATGTCACTGCTGGGGACACTCACCACTCTGCAAGTCATGAAGCCAATTTGAAGACGGCAAATTAGTCTTGCTAGGCCTGCATAAGACTCAATGACTCCCGCCTAATTGGACACGCTGATGACCTCAGTCAGGTCCAGACGCCATCATGTCTCAGTTCAACACGTGAGCAAAATCGATAGTTCGTTCCGAATCGCCTCACCTCGACAAGACCTACCTCACACAATGCCCTGACTACATGCAATGACTCTTGCATCCGACCCATCCTCATCTCCCTCAAATCAAGGCACAGCACCATCAGTTCCGTCCATTCACCCGCAGCCGGGTCCAATGGCGCACCCCTGATGGCCACACATCGCAATCTCCCGGGGGCCTGGGCCTTTTGTTAATTTGCCGTCGCTGCTTTAGAGTCGGTGGCTTCCGTAGCCTCGTGCCAAGTTGGGAAATGAGCCCGTGCATGCAGAGGAGAAGGAGGGGAGACCGTCGATGGGACCTCACCCCAGATTTTCCAGGGGGTTTGATGGCTTGATGCGACCTCCCGGCGGCTTCGTTAGCTCGCGCCCCATTCACAACGTCTTTCTTCAGAGGGCCAAGAGATGGATGCCAAGGAGCTCACATAAACAAAGATATATATACTTCAATGGTAAAAAGGTTGAGTTTTAAAGCAGATATTCATGATTTGGTCCAGACCAACTATCGAATCGCCCAACCATGAACACCCGGTTGCAGATTAGAAGATTAAGTACAGATTTGTGCCAATAAAGCGGTAGTATTCACTCGTCTAGTTAAACTCTGTACATGTCCAACAAGACAGAATACCTGGGTTCATAAATTGCCATAGCCTGCAGGCTCTAACTTAGAGGACGAAAAAAGGAAGAATTTAAGCCAGGATGAAAGCGGCGATACCGGCGGCAGCGGCGAAGAAGGCAGAGCCAGCGAAGGTGGCAGCGCCGGCGGTCACGGCAGGAGGCTGAGTGGGGACACTGGAACATGTTAGTGATTTGCTCTTTAACTCGTGAAGCTGTACTTACGTCTCGTTGCCGTGAGCGGGAGGGTTACCGCCAGCAGGGGTGGTGGCGGCGGGAGGGGGAACAGCAGGGCCGGTAGGGTTGCCGGGCTGGCTGGGGTAACCGGGGTTGCCGCCAGTAGGGCAAGGAACCTGGATGGTAGAGTACTCAACGGTGGTGAGGACCGTGGTGTAGCTCTTGGTGATGGCAGTCACAGACTGAGAAGGAACGCACTCGGGAGCCTCAGGAACGGGAGTAGCGGGGACAACAGGCTTGTTGCTGGACTCAGCGGGAGGGTTGGGGTAGACAGGAACAGTGCCGTTGTGGTGGGGAGCGGGCTGGGAAGGCTTTCCGGGGTAGGTAGGCTTTCCGGGAGTAGCGGGCTGAGAAGGCTGCTCGTAGACAGGCTTGCTAGGCTGCTCATACACGGGCTTGCTGGGCTGCTCATACACGGGCTTGCTGGGCTGCTCATAAACAGGCTTGGTCTCAGCGGGCTTGCTGGGCTTGGGCTGCTCGTAGACGGGCTTGGTAGGCTGCTCGGGCTTCTCAGGCTGAGCGGGCTTGCTGGGCTCACCAACGGGGCAGATGGTGGTGGAAACAGCATAGGTCTCGGTGGTCACAACGGTGGAGCGAGCAGGGCAGTTGGTGACCTCGGGACCGCAAGAGGTGATGGTCTTGATGTTGGTGCTGTAGATGGTGGAGGTGGTCAGAGGAGCCTCAGAGGTAGGCTTGGGGGCCTCGTAGGTGGGCTTGGGGGCCTCGTAGGTGGGCTCGGGAGCCTCGTAGGTGGGGATGGGAGCCTCGGAGGTCTCGACAACGGGGTAAGAGGTGGTGCTGACGACGGTGGATCGAGCAGGGCAGTTGGTGACCTCAGGACCGCAAGAGGTGATGGTGACGAGCTCAGTCTGGTAGACAACGTCCTTGGTGGCCATGGCCGAAGAGGCCAGGAAAGCGGCGGCGAAAGCGTAACGCATCTTGAAAGTGTTGATGGTTGAGAAGAAGGGTGTTTTGGTTGTAAAGAGTGGAAAAGCTAAAAGCTCAAAAGGTTGATAGTTGCTGAAAGTGGTGAAAGAATGGACGACCGAAGTCAAAAGGAGTCAAGAAGCAGGCAGCTTTGAAGTGTAGGCTTGTTTGGCTGTGGAAAGAAGGAAGAAAAGATAGATGAAAAGTCGCAGGATGGTCGCGTTTTAATAGCCATGTCGGTCCTCTGCCAGCAACTCCAAGGCGGAAATTACGTACTGGAGGTTTCCAGGAGGTCGGCCGTCTCCATGATCCATTGCCACCCTGGGACCAGGGGTTCTGGCAAACGGCTCTCGACTTGAGATGAAAGAGAGGGCGAGTGTGACCCTGGCTAATGACCCATCCAGACTGGGGGAAGTTGGATGGCGGAGCCATGTCGCGGGTCGACCGCCACGGTCTCTGGAGTTGGTTGCGTGTGGAACCGCCGTGGCCCGTGGATCCGTCGCTGGATGCTGGATCACCATGAATTCTGGGTCACGGACCAGAGCAATGACAGGGGCACGGGCACCCATGGATGGTCTTGTTTCGAGAGCTTGGTCGAAGGTTATCATTCATGCCGAGCATTGACGGCAATGCCAAAGAACAACGTTTCTTGGAGCTGTTGACCAGACAGACAAATTCTGATCGAATAGGTTGTTCGTCATGAACCATGAAGCGACCTCGAAAAGGCCATCTTTCGGGCAGCGTAGCGTCCATCTGCAGGTACAGTCAGTCCCTGACATCCATTAGGAAGTGAGGTGTCGGGTGGAGGCTGGGTGGGACAAGGAGTGGACCAGTCAAGCGCCGTCTCTTCACCCTCTCTTCATCTCGGTCGTCCAGAGTGGTTCTGTCGCCCACATTGGCTCGATCGGCACGGCTGCCATTACCGCCCGGCAAGCTTTAACTGGTTGTTTGACCGACGAGGGGCGGTTTCTGGAGGCGTCAACTCCAGCGAACAGTAGTCGAGGGTCCATGTTTGATAGGCGGTGATGGGCGGGTCATGGACCACTCAGAGTCGGTCAAGCTACCAAGCCGCGCAAAGGGTTCTCATTGCGAGGGATTGCAAGTTGAGGGCAGCACGACAGAGGCTCCCTCCTTCCGCGCACTGTTCGTTCTCATCTCTGGCTCTCGTGTTCTGCTGTATGAGGATCGGACGCTGGCGCATGTTGATCAGGGATGTAGTTGATGAAGGGGAAGCCGGGGGTTATGCCCTGGACCCCGACGCCGTTGGTTTAGTGCTGGCTCGTGCAGTGCACCTTCCTTGATGGTCGACCGCCAAAATGAAAGGACTTGTTCAAGCACAACCTGTGCAAGATGGCATAGTGCACAGCCTCTCTCTGCACAAAAATTCATTGTCAAGCCTCAGCATCATGCGATTCATGTATTCCAGCCTCACCCTTCATTTCTTCCTAAACGGCCCATTGTCTATTGTTCTATCCGCGGTCTAAAATGGACCAAGACATGTCTTGTTTCGCATTGAGTGCTTGCTTTCGGCTGCGTTGTACGAAATGCCACATCTCTTCCTGGTAAATGCCCTTCTTTGTTGTCTGATGCCCAACCATCCTTCTATCAACATTGGACCAACAATTGAGCGGCAGAGTAAACACAATGTTATGACAATCTCCTTGCAGCATGCGCCTAAGCCAATGAGAAGCCGCACCTTACTCGCGGTATCCATCTCCTCATTAATGCACGACATGGTTGTTATTACAAGGTCCGCGGTTGTGCAACTGATTGGCCTCCCGTCGTTGCACAAGTTCGACACATCACTAACCGCTTGCAAAAAGTAGCTGCAGCCGCCTGGGGATTGTGCCACACCCATCTCCTAATGCAGGAACCCACATTGTTGGTGCGGGACGCCATCCCCATGAAAAGACTCAAGCCTCAAACTTGGCATCGACTGGATTGCAACCTTCCATCAGCGAGCCGTGCCCGTTGCGAGTCGGGACGAGGACAAGCAATGACCATTGCAAGCCCCCCTGCCCATCATGGAAACGATAACTGATGTTAATTAGATCGCATGAGCTTGTTTTCGCCATGTAGACATGAGAGCACCAAAAGGACGCCTCCAGAACCAACCTACACATTCAGAGTTTCCAACCGAGATAACCTGTGCTAAATGTAGAAAGACAGACCGCAATAAGCAGGGAGACGGGAGATGGAGGGGTGCCATCTCCATCTGGTTGTATATCTCGGCTGCCTCATTGGGCTATCTACCGGCCGGAGCTTCGTTCGGGGCAATCAACCCCAAGGGGTTCGCTCCTTTCCACGCTTTGATCAAGACTCGTCTCGACTTGAGCAGGACCTCACAAGGCGGTGACGGGCCTCTGCATCATGTTCATGGAGCAGAGGCCGCCTCAACTCGAGCGCATGGATGATGCCGCCATGGCCATCTCAATCAACTTGGCCCTCTTGTCCAATCTCTTGGCCTCCCACGAGCGTTTATTCCCGCTGTGGTCGTCCGCGCGTCACACCATGCATAGTTTGCTGCTGATCAGAGGGCTCTTCCAAAGCCATGACGTCGAAATGTCTCTTTGAAACAAAGAACCACAAAATGGGCCATGCTGCCAACTGGTCCTCCACTTCTTACAGCGCATCCCGGCAGCGCCGTGTATTCCCTAAACAGCCTTCAGAGCAACAGGGACGATCGCCGTATTCAGTCGCAGAAAGAACCAGCCTCGTCCTCTAACCCGTTCTATTCTCGCAGCTCGTGTGACACCAGCTGCAGAGGCGAAAGGAAGCCAATATCCCCCCTAAGTTGGCTGGGCCACCCCTGTTGGTCTTCTGTACCAGCTGTTGGCTCGCAACCAGCCAAATGATACCCTCAGCGCCACGTCGCGCCCCCAGCCGGCAGTGGCTTGCCGCCTTCTCCTGACGATCGTCTGGGCTGCCATCGAAGCTTGGCACCAAATCGAAGGCCGCGGCCATGTGCTCCTCGTATTAAGAAATAAACGATTCAGATTTTAAGATGGGGTTTAATCCAACTGCAAGGGGGCAAGGTCCCCTATTTCTGCTCTCCACAATTCGCCATCACTTCTGGCACTTCTCTGCCCACTTGTCTCCCCGCAAAAGGAGGAAAGGAGACGGTTTGGAAGAGCAGCAGAAGGGTGGACTCTGGCAGTTCAGTTCTGCAGTCGGGAGGAGACGAAACTTGGCAGCCGGGGGAAATGAAGCTGACGAGTCCTCTGGATCTTCCGCTGACTAGATATTGGCCCCGTCGCGCACCAGAGATGGACTCGCACGTGTGAAGCATGGACGATCTCTGTTATTTCAGCAGCAAGTCGACGATCGTCTCCTCTTGGGGGACCAGAGCGAGCCGCGCATCCATATGAACCACAAATCTAACGTCATGCGCCAAATTTATCGACCAACGATACTCGTCTTTGCTGGAGGATTGTTTCATTTCACGACTCAAGACGGCGGCTGAACTACCGAGTTATTTTCCGATCGAAACATTTGAGGCAGTTGTCGTGTGATCGACATTTCGTTTGTTTGCTCTAATTGAACGAGGCTGGACAAAATGCGACCGTGTCCGTCACAAAGGGCTATTGTCTGTCATCAACTGCAGCATGACTGATACTTCATCCATTAAGCTATGCGGCCCGGGATGTTGTCCCTGACCAGCCGGTTACAGTTTCTTTGACGATGCTTATTTTACCTTGCAGCCATGGACGTCCATCTTGTTAGAAACCAATCGAATTCTAAGAGTTACGGTCGGAAGGGTCGACCATTCGCCTCTTGATATTCATGCCGACCCTGGCAGCGATGTACCTTGACTCTCACTGAAGTCTCCATGAGAAATAGCGTGCAGTTACGAGTCGAAAAGTCCAAATTCTACGACCTCGAACCGATTACATCCGAGTTGGGGAGGGTAGGACGTTAAAGCTCGATATGTCGTTCCGCTTTGTATTCACCTGTCGAACATGGAATCTATATCGGCATTTCCACCTCAAGTACGGTCCTTGAATTGCAGACCTCGTCATTCTTGAATTCGACTTCTGGAACTTTGAAGGGGGAGTTCTCATGACGAGTCGGCAGCCAGTCAAGTTGCCTTGGACCTCCCGCGGTTTCCGTGTGCTTTCATGACCAGTTGGGACCAGACGACGTCACGAACCGGAAATTTATATACCTTGGTTACGTTCTATTGTTACGCATATGGACCTGCAGTCTGGACATTCTGCATGATTCCACTGCTGGCAAGTCTGCTTTATGGGATTGACCGTGATATTGTCTTCATGCCCTGGCCTCAAAAGAAGACAGACGCTGCCTTTTTCTGCTGAAGGTGTTGGTATCTTAAATGCTGCATGTTTCAATTAGTATCGTACTGCTATTATCTGGACAGTGAGGTTATTCAGAAGTGGCTGACAGGGTGTGCTGGGATTTGCTACGTTGTACTGTAGCCTATCACACGACCCTCTGTCACCTTTCACATATGAAGTCTACGTAATGCGTGAACCCATCTGATCGTATATTTACCGGTCTATAGATTCGGGGCCCAATCACCATGTTGTTGAGTTAAAGGGTCTCTTATAACTCGTCTTGACATATCTGTGGTTGCGGCTCAACGTGTGAAGTGCGAGAGGGGCAGAATAGCCACGGCCCAAGCTGCCGGGACCTCATTTTATCCGAGAATCTACCTACGGCGGTCTTGCCAAAGTCTACCTAGGTAGGTACCCCACACTGGCACAACCACCGACTTTTGGAAATAGCACATCTCGAGATAAAAACGCAGTTTGCGCACGATATACGCCTTCAAAACCGCCGCGACCGCCTTTCCGAACCCGTTTGCGACTCTATCGTTTTTGTCACCATCGAGTCCGCTTCTATACGAACTTTCGGCGACTCCTCCCACCCCTGCTTCGCTGCACAGGCTCTCTTTGACGACTCAGGCATGACCCCTCGGTAGCCTTGTTCCGCCTCGCCTTTGATATCATAACTATGCTGGATGCTGTGTATCCAAGGCTGCCCGAGTTATAGCAGCGTCGTCCATACTTGAACAAGTTTTATTTACACTCCGGTGCCTGCTGCACCTTGAATTTTGATCATGGAGGCTCAGGTGAGTCGCTGCTACTGTTTTTCCTTTGCATGGTCTTTGTCATGGGCGCTCTCGTGCCCCGCCATTCAGCCGTCACTCTTGGTCATGGCCAAGTCGCATCGGCCCAACCGCCCAGCCTTTCGAGGCCCGATGATGCGACCAGGACGCGAAGCATACGCATAGAAACCATCACATCCCGTCGATACTAACTTTTGTCCCAATGGCTCAGGTAGAGAGCGTCGTCGGAATTCTTTCCAACCCCACCTCCGATCCCGCCCTCAAGCAGCAAGCCTTCGAATACCTAAATCAGCTAAAAGCCGACCCTCAAGGATGGCAACCTTGCACCACGCTCTTCGCTCGAACACCACGGGCGGAAGAGGTGGTGCGTCTTGTCTGCCTCGAGGTGGTCAACTATGCCGTACACACACAGGGCCTTGACCCTACGAGTCTTGCGTTCCTCAAAGACACGCTCCTCCAGTACTGCCGCCAGACGTACGGCCCCAACGCTCAGCAGGAGCCTGATGCTGCGCATCTCCAGAACAAGCTCACGCAAACGTTGACCTATCTGTTCGTGTTCCTCTACCAAGACGGGTGGCAGAGCTTCCTCGACGACTTTATCGAGTTGACAGGCCTCTCTACAAACTCGGATAATGTCCCGGGCGTCGTCTTTTACCTCCGAATCCTCGGCTCCATCCACGACGAGATTGCCGACATGCTCCTGACACGGCAGAGCAGCGAGACCAAGCGGAATACAGAGCTCAAGGACCAGCTCCGGGCACAGGATATCCGCAAGGTGTCCGAGACCTGGAAGCAGCTGCTCACACGATACGGGAGCAATGATACTGTCGTGGACCTCGTCCTCAAGGTCCTGGGCAAGTGGGTCAGCTGGATGGACATCTCGCTGGTTATCAGCCAGGACATGCTCGGTCTCTTGCTGCCAGTGGTCGGGCGGTCCAACACCTCGGGGAGCGAGGACAAGGTCCGCGACACAGCCATCGACACCCTGAACGAGATATGTGGCAAGAAGATGCGCTCAGGAGACAAGATGGAGATGATCTCCTTCATCAATCTGCAGGAAATTGTCGAACAGTTAGTTGCTAGCCCTCCCTTGAGCGAGTTCAAGGGAACCTCTCGATACGACACGGATCTGGCCGAGGCAGTTGCCAAGCTAGTAAACACGGTCCTCTCCGACATTGTACGGGCTCTTGAGGACAGCCAGCTCAGTGATGACACTCGCGCCAGGGCGAACCAGCACCTCAATGGGTTCCTCCCTTTCCTCCTGCGCTTCTTCTCGGACGAGTACGATGAAGTCTGCTCGTCCGTCATCCCAGCGCTGACAGACTTGCTCACCTTCCTTCGTAAACTTGGCCAGCTCCCTCAAGACTACGGCAACATGCTTGCGCCGATCTTAGATGCCATCATTCGCAAAATGAGATACGATGAGACATCCAACTGGGGCAATGAGGATGAGCTGACTGACGAGGCCGAGTTTCAGGAGCTGCGGCGGAAACTCCAGAATCTGCAAAAGTCTATTGCTGCCATCAACCAGACCTTGTACATGGACATGCTTAGCAATCTCGTTGCCACCACGTTCCAGACACTCGACCAGCAGGGCTCCCAGATGGACTGGAGGGATCTTGACCTTGCCTTGTACGAGATGTACCTCTTTGGCGAGCTTGCCCTTCCCAACCAGGGTCTGGGAACCAAGAATCAGCCTTCCAGCGAAGCTTCAGAGAGGTTGGTGGTTATGATGAAGAAGATGGTCGAATCCGGTTGGTATTCCTTTCCTCATGACCAAGCATAGTACTCCTAACACAGCCACAGGTATTGCCAACTTCTCCCACCCCGCCATTCTGCTTCAGTACATGGAGATCTGCGTTCGCTACTGCGTTGTCTTTGAGAATAACGCACAATACATTCCGCAAGTCCTGGAGAACTTTGTGCGGCTGGTCCACCACGATCATGTCCGGATCAAGACTCGGTCGTGGTATCTGTTCCACCGATTCATCAAGCAGCTTAGATCTCAGGTCGGAAACGTTGCCGAGACGGTTATCCAGTCGATCGGAGACCTCCTGCCCATCAAGGCCGAGGTCCCAGGCGAGGACGCTGACGATGACATGTCCTCAGATGAGTCTGATCACTCAGCGGATGCTCTCTTTACCAGCCAGCTGTACCTTTTCGAGGCCATCGGTTGCATCTCATCCTGCCAGGGCACGCCATCTGAGAAACAGGCTTTGTATGCTAGGTCTGTGATGGATCCCCTATTCACCGATATGGAGGCGCATCTTGAGCGGGCCAAGGCTGGAGATGCCCAAGCTGCACTCCAAGTCCACCACATTGTCATGGCCTTGGGTACTTTGGCCCACGGATTTTCGGACTGGACCCCAGGCATTACTTCCTCCAACGCCCATGGACCACCTGACAAGGCCGTTTCTGACGAGTTCTCCCGAGCAGCTGAGGCTATCTTGATTGCTCTTAACCAACTGAACTCTTCTGCCGAGATCCGAACAGCTTGCCGATCGGCCTTTTCCAAGTTGCTGGGTGTTTTGGGTGCTGCTGTTCTGCCGCAACTGCCTCAGTGGATTGAGGGCTTGTTGTCCCAGAGCTCTTCCAAGGACGAGATGGCCATGTTCCTGCGACTACTGGATCAGGTGGTCTTTGGGTTCAAGTCTGAGATCTATGAAGTTCTCAACATGCTGTTGACACCACTTCTTCAGCGCATTTTTGGTGGGCTTACGGAGCCCATTGCCGGAACAGACGATGAGATTCAGCTGGCTGAGTTGAGGAGGGAATATCTCTCATTCCTTCAGATCATTCTTAACAACGGGCTAGACGGGGTTCTTGTGAGTGAGTCCAACCAGGGCTTCTTCGAACCCATGATTTCGTCCATCATCGAGTTGGCCAAGACTCTCGAAGGCAACATTGGAGGAAGCAGACTTGCTTTCACATTGATGACACGAATGGCGGCCATCTGGGGTGGCCCGGATATTGCAGTCATCTCCCAGAACCCTACCGCCCCGAGCGGCAGTCCTACTCCTGCATTCCCTGGCTTTGACCAGTTTATGATTGACCGATTTCACTCGACTTGCTGGGAGGTGATGCGGAATCCCAACTTCCGACCATTCCAAGATGCCCAGACAAAACAAGTCCTTACAGAGATTGCCGGCCTGGAGCAGGCGATCTACACAAAGACTGGCGAGGTGTTTATCCAGTCGCTGCAGAACCATCTTTTCCCTACTCTGGGCGTGGACGGCGATGAGTTCTTGCGATCTCTTACAACATCAACAGACAAACGACACTTTTCGTCATATCTCCTGAACTTGCTGAAGAGCCGACAGTAGACTGGAAAGGCCCATTATGATTTTCAGGGGGTGGGTGAGCGATTGAGCATGGTTGACGTGTGAGGAAGAAGATTGGAGATTACGAGCAAAGGTCTCCGGCGAGCAAAGGGTGTACGGGAGCCTCGCGGCGCATGTTCAGGGAGTTTTGAGGGCAGACATTAGAGCTAAAAAGAATCATATTGTTCGTCATTTCTAGTCACAGATATTCCCCCTTTTTTCGGTATTTTTTTCAGGGTGGCCGGATTCAAGGGTCGAGCGAGGGTGGATAGGCGGATGGTAGTTGAGGATTAGATGAATACACATCCGCGCTGAAGAGCTGAGTATCTGACTGGGCTATAATATGTGATGTTCATCCCTCCTTGTTCACATGTTGGGGGTTACTTTGGTGGATAGGGAGGTTATTCGCGCTGCATACCAGGGGAGGCACGAATTCAATTTCGGCCGCACTTTCTCACCATGGAATTGAGACTGGCAGCAAGTCAAGGAAGGCACGGTAGGGAAGGCAGAATGAAGACTATACTCCATCTCCAACTCCAATTTGACCTTCTCGCCCCATCAACACCATCAAACAACACCATCGTTACCCGCATTCTTCCCTCAACACCGTCATTACCACCCTGAGACGACTTCAACCATGGATACTAGAGAATCTCCAGGTTAGGAACCTAACACTAACCCCAGTGAAACTTCCGCGGGAAGCGAGCCTATCCCCAAAGAAGAGCCAACACCACCTACTACGACACCGGCTTCGTCTACTTCTCGACCACGTCGACTATGGTCGAGACTAGAATCTGCCAGGAATTGTCTAAAAGCATTGGAATCTCTCAACTCGAACCCTTCTCCCTCTCAATCTCAACCTCAAGACGATGACCCCTCTCCCCAAGGGGGCTTCCTGCCCAAAGATCGCGACGCCTCAACACTCATCGAGATCGTCGATAATGAAGTGCCAGGAAATGGGACTGCCGATACCTTGCCCACCAAGGAGTCGCCCACTGAAAAGCAGTCTGCTTCCGAGACTGCTGTTCATGATTCACCAGCCTCAGGGCACAGCGAGGACAAGAGCAATAAGCCCCCACCCCCTGAATCTTTCAAGCAAGGTCCTGGTGCTGCTTCCACGGAGCCCATGTCAGTACCAGTGAGACGGAAACTACAGGAAACGCTAGCAGAACCCTCTGGTACAGAAACAACTCAGCTGCCAACAGGAACAAAGCCCGAAAGTACCGTGACGGCAATGGCTCAGACGCCGCCGGTAACAACGGGCGAGGTGATCAATATATCACCAGCTCAGCTATGGGAAGACGTAGCCCAGCTAATCAAGGAGATGAAAGCACACGAAGCCGAGTTCCCAGAAACAGTAGAAGCCAAGCAGACTTGGCTTCAGAGGTCGTACAAATTTGGCAAGAGCCGCTTGCTCCCTCTCATTGATCAGGCGACGGCGATACTAGTGGCAGAAAACGTCTCACTAGGGGAGAAAATTGCGACCTCGATGAATGTCCACGTCATGGATGCAGCTACAGACGCCTTGATTGAGAAACAGGCCATGGCTCGGACTGCAATTGCACAAGCCGAGGCAGCAGAGCAGTCAACGATGCCGCAAACCATATCGGCTCAGACACCGGCGGAACTACTAGAGGCAGCAACTCAGGCGATGCAAAGGGTTAAAAAACTCAGAACACTAAGACGTACAGTGGCTCGACTCCCAGAGATCGCAGAGGAAACAAAGCTTCCACTAGATTTGAAGAAGAGGGCAGCGGAAACCGTGAAAGGCTTGAAGACGTCACGAACCTCACTGCCCATGCACCTTGAGAGACACGGCGCCACAGAGTTTCACATGTGGAAGGCAGGTCGGGTCTTTAAGGAGTTCAGTCAAGCCGAAGCGGTCATCACTGCGAGGTTGAAGCTAACAGGGGATATGGTGGAAGAGCCAGCAGCAGGTAAACATGCTGGCCCAACTTACCCTTGGGGGATTTTCAAGGAAGTGGAAGAAGACGCTAAAACGACCAAGGACTACGAAGTTTCCATAGCACGACGAGGCTTGGAGGAACGTGAGGCAAGTCTCCGTGATGTAGCAGGGGCTCAGCTGAGCTTGAGGAAGATCAAGTCTTTGTTGCGTTCGATATCGACTCAGTGTTGCAACCTAGGCCTGGACTTGATCTTGCAAGGAACACGTTCTGGATAATGGTGATTTGCAGGTTGGGTTATGAGTAGCAGCGACGACTTGTGATAGAAACAGCGAATATTGGATATAGAAACAGCGATGAATCAATCAGGATGCTTTAATTGAAATGCTCAATTACATATTATAGATGGTGCTTTTTTTGAACGTCTTGAACAGCATGTGTCGGCTCAACCAAGGTATCTCGACATTGCCCAGCAGAAACACCACAGCTATGTGTATCAAAGGAAGAAGAGAGAAGAAATAGGAGATAGGCAGGTAGTACGAGTCTGTGTGAGCAAGCCGGATTCATTCCCAGAAATATTCACCCATCAATCTTTTTTTTCTCCGTTTCTAAATCCATCAGCCACAACGAGAAAAGGAAGCAAAAAAGAAGAAACAAGGCTTGTGCTGTCGTCCATCTCTAGATGATGTAGCCGCCACCAGACAGGCAGCGCCAATCCCGAATACCAGAGCCCTCTTCGAGCTCGACGCACCACCAGAGAACCTCCTTGGCCTTGTCAAGCTGGCCACTCTCCTCGTGGGCGCGGGCGAGGGTGAACCAGGCCTCGGAAGAGTTCCAGCTGGAGCCGAGCTTGGTGAGGGTTGAGAGGAGGGCGTAAGCTCGGTCACGAGCCGCGAGACGGTCGACGACAGGTAGGCGGGTGGCCTTGTAAGCGGCGGGAAGCTCGTCGTCGTCCAGGTCAGAGTGTTGAACGGTGGGGGACTCGGGATCTGAGGGACCGAGACCGAGAGGGGTTGAGGGGAGGTCGGCGACGGTGTGAGGATGTTGTTGGCTTGCTTTGGAGGCTGAGTGACTAAGGTGCAGGAGGGTGTCTTCCAGAGCGGGAACGGGGACTGGGGGGAGGAGAGTCTCGCTGTAGATATCGAGAAGGATGTTGGAAAGGCCGACGATGGCACCAGGATGGTTGGGCGCATGTGTCAAGGATGTCTCAAAGTCACTACGGGCCGCGTAAGGAGCTCCCTTTGCAAGAGAAAGTTGGCCCAGCTATAAACTATGTCAGTTATTGTTTCAAGGATGAGAGGAGAAAGGCTTACCTCGGCCCAGTAATCACTCCACAGTTCCTCAATACTCTTCTTATCGGCCCAGCCGGGGCCCTTCAGACCGCTCGAGCCCGAGGGGTCCCGAGCAAGATCAGCCTCGAGACTCTGGATGAGCCGTTGAGCTTCCGTGGCAGCCCCCTTGCAATCCTCCTTCATACCAGCTCTACGGTAGAAGCCAGCAATCATGAGCCAGACTCTGATAAGAATCGTCACTCTCTGCGCCCTCTCCTTATCCTTGGGGAACTGAACCAGGGGTAGAACGCATGTTGAAGAGTAAGCGTTGTCGACAGACAGCTCAGAGTAGTCGGTGGACTTTGACTGAGTCGAGAGGTACGAGTTCAGATTTGGCGGGGGTCGTGACTGTCTATAGGACGAGCGCCTTGAAGCAGGTTGCCGCTTGCTAGAGAAGGTGAAGAAATCAGTCTGCTGCTCGCTATCATCGGCACCACCTGGCGTGAAGAAGACGTCGCCGTCAACAACAGTAGCACCACCACCATGAGAGACGGCTCCGATACTAGAGGATCTCGGTCGGCTCATGCTGCGATCCCGCTTCTTGAGACTGTTGCTTCTGCCTGTGGCGCTCCTATTTCGACGGACAGAAGACGCTGAAGTTCGTGGCCGAGCATCAGTCAGGGGGCCGTTCTCTCCTGTTACGTGGATCGTCGGTGCGCTGCTGCGCATCGTCTGAGCAGTCTGCGGCCTGGAAGTCCGTTCACTTGACATGGAAGTATAGACCTGCCTCGTAGGCGGTCTAGACCTATCATTGCCCCCAAAGATGGTTCCCCTAATGCTCCTGAGTGTACCCGAGGTCTTTGGCGGCTCAATTGCCTTGGGGGGGCTCAAAGCAGGCTGAGCCGCAACGTTGCCAAACAGTCTCGAGAAGAGTGTCAACAACTCAAAACTGGCATTGACAGCCACTTCGGGTCCTTCAAGCAGCTCAACCAGGGCGAGCTGTGTCATCTTGACCTCGAGGATGCTCTCCTTCTCCGAGTCATCCATATCATCGACCAAGCCTCGTCGACCATCTTCTGCAGAATCCTTTTCAGCTTCGTTGAGGTGTTCGCTCCTAAACGTCTGATCTGTCTTTCCGAACAGGATAGAGGGGTCCTTGAATTGTTCCAGGGCACCTTCACAGGCCCTTGCCGCCAGATGGTAATCTTGTCTCGCGCTCAGGAGAAGAGCCAAGAGGTGCCATACGGGGATAAGGGACCGTTCTTGCCAGTATGGCCCATAGACCAGGTCGTAGTTCTCTTCTTGATCTTTGCCAACAGTCAAGGCCGTTCTCACAGTCTCAATAGCAGCGGTTAGTTCTCTTCGCTCGGCCAAGAGCAGACCGAGAGCAAAGAAGCTCCTGATATCTTTTGAGCGCCCAAACTCTACTGCGAGGGACTTTCGGAGTGATCGGATGGCCTTTTGCTGGATCTCGGTCCTGGAGGCTGCTTCGTACGTGACTCTCGACCAGTGGGCTTGAGACAACCCGATGGCCTGCCATGCCAGGGCGATGGTATGCGGTGGCACAGGAGGGTGCGAAGAGTTGAACTCATCGTACTCGGAAATCATTGGGGTGGCAGTGTCTGAAGAGTTGAGCTGTGGCAGTTTGAACAGCCAGTCCTCCAACTCAGACCCAAGTTGGCGGGCCTTTTCCGCAGCAGTCCGCTGGCCATATCGGCAGAGGGCGATGATGCATTGCGAAATTGTCTCAAGAACTGTAGCATCGTCGTCCAGGCTAGGCTCGGGGTGCCCAGTCTTGTCAACACGGGCCTTGCCCTTCTTGACAATCTCCAAGTAAGAGTCAAAGGCCTTGAAGGCCAGGTCGAACTCGGCGACTGAAAGGTGCACGAGGAAGAGTGAGCGCAGGATAGCTGTCGAGTGGTACGTCTTCATCGCAGCGCTGTAAAGAGTATCGAGGACTCCGCGGCTCAAGCTATTTCGACCACCGGGTCCAAGGTCTTCCTCTCTCCATCCTCGTCCACAGAGAAGAGACCAGTTTCGAAGCACCTGGCCAACGAAGCCCTCGACTTCTTCACGCTCTTCGTCAGCTCTGGGGAACGACGTTTCGCCGAGCAGGAGGGTCTGGTAGGTCGATTCGGCATGCTTGAGCTCCACCCGCAACTGACTTCGAGGAGATAGATCGCCAGCTGTGTTATTCACAAATCCAGTCGGGTAGGGCAAGTCGAACTCGACGATCTGAGAGAGAGCGATGTAGTACTCATTCCACACTCTCCGTCGGGGCACTGAGCCCTTGAAGCCGTATCCTCCGGTAACGGGCATAGCCAGGGTGTCCCAGAACCTTGCCCAGGAGCGATAGCAGGCGAGGGAGTCGTTCTCGCCCACTGGTGAATCGCTGCTCTGGAAGCCCTGGCTGGATAGCATACAGTACTCGGTGAGGAACAGCTCAGACCAGTATCGAAGCTGTCTTCCCATCCCCTGCTCTGCCCACACTCGTGCGAGCGAGGGGAGTCCAGCCCGGAAGGCATCCAAGGCCTGCTTGATCTCGCCGCCGCGCGCAAGGCAATTAGCCTTGAGATACGATGCTTTGAGAGCGCAGACGCTCGTCCATTCGGCAGTCCTTTCGGTGGGGTTGGGTTCGCCATCTTCCACCTTGAGACTCTCGGGCAGTTGGCTGGTGCAGAGGGTGTACTCCCCGTTGACCCAGTGCAGCCATCCCGCACACACCTGAGCCTGGAACTTGTCGGTCAGGTGCAACGTCTCTTCCTCAATCGCTTCCAGGAGCTTCGGCAACTGGGCCGCGAGGTCAATATGGCTCGTATTCGCAGCGGTGGTCGGTTGGTTATGGTTGCTAGCAGCGGCGGCGGCAGCAGCAGCAGTCGTCGTCTTGGCAATAGCGCATTCCGTTTCGGCGGTCAGAGCAAGACCTGGTCGAGTGTTATTAAGTATTGTATTCTAAAAAGCCCTTCGCTGGAGGGCGGTGAAGCGGGAGGGCGTCATACAGGCTCTGTCAGGAGCATGCTTGCGAACCTTGCGAACGAGCTCGGGGACTACATCCCAGTTGCCATCGCAGCGGGCATGATCCAGCTGGTGCATGTACTGCACAGCCTTGGGCTATACGACAGCAGGAGAAGGAGAGTCAGTTTGTGAGATCTCATCGATGGCCTGGTTCTCTTGTCTTACACCCATGGTTCGACCTGTTCAGGAGGTTGTCGGGACTAGCAGCAAGATGGCGCCAAGCGCATGGCGAGGAGAGGGATCGTGGGAGGAACAGGAGGCCTCACGGGGGAGGCTATCGCGGAGGAAGGATCTCGGTGTATCGGCCGATGGGAGGAGAGTCTATTCGAATCAGCGCCAAAGGCGACTTCCTCTACATGCACCCGTGGTTGGTGATGTTGGATGTTGACGAGATGGCTCGTATTGGATCTGACCGTGTATTGATGGCTTGTGGTAGCGCAGAGCTGGAGATTGAGAGCTGCTGGGTCGACGTAACGCGGGCGCTAGACCAATCAGAGATCACTGCCACACCACGACAGGCCCCGCCGCCAGGGGTCTTCCCGTCAGTCCAAGCTAAGCTTGTTGCTGTAGAAGAAAAAAAAGTTTCGGGCAAGTCAAAGTCAAGACTTGTACAGCTTCAACCTGCGAATGAGCGTAGCAATTACACCTCGCTCATCGATTGTTACTGTCGCATCGGAATTGAGAGGTAAAGGGACGTAAGGGATTTGTTGCAAGTTCATTTTATTGCACGTGACGACACAACATCAATCTTTACTCTCTTCATCCTTCCTATCCAGGAAACCCATCTTCCAAGATACCATTCGGCGCAAACACTTGGAGACGACAGAAACGCCTTTACAACCTTTCATTACGGCACGATCCTCATGGCGGCCTCATTACCTCCTGACCTGCGGGTCCTATGTCGAAAACTCACCTCAATCCCCCCAACCCAGCTGCCTCACGCGCTGCCATCTCTCATCAACCATGTTCTTCACTGCAAGGAGCCATTGTCTGCGCCCCAGGAGCGAAAGGTCAAGGACAGCTCCGCCGAGGGAGCTCAGCTGGTCCATAAGCTCAAGGCTAGCATCACCACTCACTTGAACGGGCGAAGTCGTGAAGCCAGGTTCACGGCCATTGGTCTCATCAAGGCTGTCGTGGACGTTGGTGGATGGGAAGTTCTACAAGGATGCAAGCCATGGGTTGGCGGCCTTCTGTCTATTGTCGAGGTTTGTTGAACTTCTTCTAACTCGGAGTGTTACTAAGAGTATGCAGAAAAGCGATCCTGCCGCCTCCAAAGAGTTAGCCGTGGTCACTCTCACCAGGATTTACATGCTCGTTCAGCCATACCAAACTCTTGTGAGAGAGATCGCCACTCCCACTATCCCGGCATTCATCACCACTTGCCTCAAGCTCATCAAGGCCAACTCCGGCGAGAGTCTGCAAACCCCTCTGTCTGTGGTTGAGACCATCTGCGACGCCTTCTCCGCATTGATCCCGCTTTATCCTACCACGTTCCGCCCTTCCAGCTCCAAGATAAAAGCTGCTATCCGGTCATTCCTCGTTCCCACGCTTTCAGACGACGTTGTTGTTCCCCAGAGCTTGCAGAGGGCTTCACGAAGGCTTGTCATTTCGCTTCACCACGTTGCCGCCAAGTCAGGGGGCAGTGATGAGTGGGCCAAGTTGGTCGATCTTCTCCTCAAGGACCTTCATTCTACAGCCGACCAGGTCTTGAGAGCCATTGAGGAGTCATGGGAGGGTTCAAACGGCTACAGTCGATCGCAAGTCGAACTGGATGGGGAACCCCATGGTGGCGGTGCATCCGCCGAGGTACTCCCATCGTGGACGGGTATCAATGCTGGCGCTGATCGCTTGATTGGCCTGTTCCATTACCTCTCAGACTGCCTCCGGTATCCCACCAAGGCGCCCGTCACGATACCTACTAGTGCCCTGGTCGATGCTGCATCTCGGGTACTCCTGATAGCTAGACTCTCGCCCAAATCCCAATCCTGGGATCAGGCTCTCCCAACCGTTGCTGCCATCGGCCGAGAGGAGAGAGAGGAGCTATGGGCTGCCATGCCAGACATTCACATTGCTGCTCTTCACCTGCTGCAGACTCTGTTCCAACGTCTGGAGCAGAACACGGTAGCTCTGGCCCCCGAGGTCCTTGACCACCTTGTCCGAGTATTCAAGTCGGGAATCAACCTTCCCAGCGTGCGAATGACTGGCTACGCTATTTTGAAAGAAATTCTCATCCTTTCTGGCCCGACACTATCAAAATCGTCCGTTGAAAGCCTGGATCCTCTGCTCGGTGCATGCTGCAGGGATCTACAGCAAGACGCTGGACATCTCAAGGAGTCTGAGAAGCCAACAGCCTCTACGACAGACCCCAAGAAGAACAGCATCGCTGCCAATGTCGATCTCTTCCTCCAGCCCCAAGCTTCCGCCGTCGTTGCAGCGACCCCTCTTGATCCAGAGCACAAGGCCGCTGCTTCTGCTCTCCTGGCCATTATTCCATCATGCCTGCCACAGCGCTATCTCAAGCCCTCTGTGCGCGGCCTCGTTGACCAGACGGCCATCGTCACCAGTAACCGCGATGCCATGCTCGCGAGCGTCCTCAACCCGTACAAGGACCAGCGAGGTCGAGTGTACCCCAGCATCCTTCCTCACCTGACACAGCAGTTTCCCGATGATCAAGGCCTTGAGATTCTACGCACCAACCTTCGCGCTGGTGCTCAGAGCCTGGCTGAGGGTGAGCCACCGCTGGAGGAGCTCCCTGTGGCAGGAGAGGAAGAGGACGAGGAGGAGGTGCGAGATGAGGAGATGAAAGACGACAATACCGAGGAAGAATCAGCTACGAGGAAGACAGGGGATCTCTTCAAACCATCGACTCTACCCACGCCACAGCTCGAGAAGAACCTGCCCATCCAGAGCAACCCCTTTGCGCCCAGCGACAAAGTCAAATCCACCGCAGCCGACAAAGATAGGAACGCCCGGGCTGGCTCTCCACCCAAACGGAAGCACGAAGGCTCGGATCCCGCACCGCCAAAGAGACAAGTCCTAGAAAAGTCGTCTCCTGATCGGGTGCTCGCTGCGCCTGTCCCAACTGCCCCAACCGCAGAGGAGGAGGACGACGATGATGATGATGACGAGAGCGTTCACTTGAACATGGAGTTGGATGAGGACGATGAGGAAGATGACGACGAATAGATACGTCCAAAGTAGAAAAGTGATTGGTTAAAGCTGTATTTAAGGGGTATATATTCAGTTTATGGTCTGATTCCTGGACCTCTAGCTCGGTCCATATTCAATGCGAGACGGCGAGTCTGCCTGCATCCAAGGTCATCTCGCCCATCCATTCATCCATGTCGATGCCAATGAGCTTGGAAATCACAATCCCCTACCTGCCTCATCCGCAGCCAAACAACCCACGCAAAACATTTGACTGTCCCCACAACTCCTCTGAAACGCCTTCCAGTGAATGATGCCGCCTATATCTAATAATTCCAAGTGCTTCTTCCCCAGGTCACGCGCGCCCCCCTCAGCTCCTGTCGCGCTCAGTCTCTCAGCCAAGCGCGGCGCTTCTCCTCCTTCCTGGCGCGCCTCTTCTCCTTGAACTGCTTCAGCTCTGCCTTGGAGGGTTTCTTGCCCGACCGCTCGGCTTTCAAGCTTCGGCCGTCATGGGCGTTGGCAGCAGCCTCGACGTCAAAGAAGGCGTTCATCTGACGCCGCGACTTGGCCTCGTCGCTATGCCGCTCAGGACCCATGCCGGCCGTCTGGAACTGTCCAGTGAAGCGGTTAAAGGAAGCCGTCGAAGCATAAACGTCCGACGGGTCGATCACAGCACCAGTGGATGGTCCAGCAGCATCTTCGTTGTTGCCCTGCGCATACCAGGCGTTGGGATCGTAGTCGCCGTGGATGGCGGGGTTGTAACCACCCGCGGCAGGCTTCTCAGACACGGGCGGCTTAGGAACGCTCGACTGTGTACCTGGGGCCGCAGGGGTGGCGACGCGCGGGTTCTCCCACTGCGTTTTCCCGGTGAAGCGATTGGCAAAGAACCAGGCTTGGGTGGTTGGGTCCCATTGACAATCCCATCCGTCGTCTTCGGGTTGAGGCGCAGGCTCGTTCGGCAGGGGAGGACCACCAGGCACAGGTTCATTTGGCAAAGGGGGTCCATCTGGTGTCGGCTCGTTTGGTAGAGGTGGCGCGTTACTGTCCTTGTTGGGGGCATCCGAAGATTCAGGCTCTGGCGAAGCCTCACCAGGCTCGCGATCGGAACCGGGATCCGCCTCCTCCTCCTTCTTCTCCACGTTCTCGGGCGCGTTGTCGGTCTCTGGCAGCTTCGCAACCGGTGACTGAAGCTCGGGCTTCTCTACGTCGGCAGGCGACGGCTTAGGTGACGACATGGCGTTTGGCAGTACGTTCTCGCGTCGGCGATGCGATAATAGTTTGGAGCGTCTATCATCCCAAAGGTGAGTTTGCGGAAACCGAGAATGTCATCGTGATACTTATGCACCTGTTGGAGGAAGAGAGAGGAAAAGAGTTTAGCAGAGCGAGGGTCTTGTGAGCAAGGAAATCGCGAGCTGCGCCTTTTTACATAGCAGAAGATGCATGCGCTGCGCGATTTTGGAGGAGAAGAAAAAAGTGTTCATATGAATGCGAGAAGGAATGCAATGAGTGCGCTGCGCCTCTGACGCCGCGCGAGCGATTCAGAACAGGGTTTGGCAAGATCCGAGGCCAAGTCTCGTCACGTGATCAGCCTTATCCCTTTGTCCTGGGTCCTCATCCATATCTACTAACTACCTACCTATCTTTGACAACTGTGATAGCTTCTTCAATCAACTGCAACTTCATATGCCATCAACAACTTCGCCCATCAAAATGATATTACTGAAATACGGTCATAGCGCCATATGTGCCGAGTTCCGCTTCTTCAGCTCCTTCTCAGCGGCCTCCATGAGGCGAAGCAGGTCTCGACCGTCTATAGCGGGCATTGACCCTGGTGACGCCCCATAAGGCGACATTAGAGCTTCTTCAACACAGGATACTTGATCAGCCGTGATGCTCTTCTCTGAGGCTCGTCCTCTTTTGCTATTTCACTAACAAACAACCATGTTGTCGATCCGCTCATTATACTTGCAGCTTGCCGTGCTTTCGACCGTCGTACACGGTGCCTCGACAGGGGACGATGAGTGCGACTGTTACCTCACGAACGGTACCAACTCTGCCTACTACTCACAGCACAAGTTCTTTGATTTCCGGGATCTTGGAAAGTACGCTGGTGTACCAGATGTTATCAAGAACGCATCTGAGACGGGGGACACTACAAGCGAATACTTTGAGAGCGACGATTGGAACGACAGTTGGGGTATCCAGGACTGGAGCAATCGCAAGAGCGGCGGCGTGAGCCTCTCTGGCGATGCATCTGTGCTAATGATCAACTCACCCAACAATATTTACATCGAGAAGAATGAGGACGACGATGCGGCATCGGACACGTTCTTAACTATGCGAACGATGCGTCTTAAAGACTTTCAGACCGCCGCAGAGTTCGAGTCCGTGTCAACATATCACTACCTCTCACTCCGTATGCTCGCCCGAGTCACGGGCAGCGCGGGCGCCTGCATGGCAATGTTCACATACCTCGAAGGCGACGAGCTGGCCGACGTGCAGGAAGCCGACATTGAGATCCTCACGCACGACCCGAAGAACCGGATCCAGTACACCAACCAGCCGTCCTTCACCGACGACGGCGACGAGGTCCCAAAGGCAACTCGCAACGGCACCCTCCCCAAGGGCCTCGGCTGGGACGACTGGGTGGTACACCGGCTCGACTGGACGCCTTCGCGTTCCGTGTGGTACGTGGCGGGTCAGGAGGTTGCCAGCATCGAGTTCCAGACGCCCAAGGACCCGGCGCAGGTCCTGTTCAACGCGTGGAGTGACGGGGGTTCTTGGAGCGGCAATATGAGCATCAATGGCGCGGCTTACATGCAGATCCAGTGGATCGAGATGGTGTACAATGGCACGGATAGTGAGGGATCGGATAAGAGAAGTCTCGAGGACCGTTCAGAGACAAGACATGCTGAAAGAAGGGGCATGTTGACACCCCGTGAGGACGACGAGGATGGGTGCAAGGCCGTCTGCAGCATTGATGAGGTGGATGAGGCTGGCAAGACCAAGGTGCTATGGAAGAGTGCAGCGTCTTGTGTGACAGCACCAATTCCGAGAGGTTGGACAGCCGGACTGGTGGTCATGGGGATCATGATCATGACGTGGTTTGTGTAAGTCCTAGATATGCATGATACCCGTTAAAGTTGGTGTTGGAGTAGGACATGAATTCAAAGCCACGGTTACATCCATTGAGACCCAGATCTCCAACTCGTCATGCTATAAACAACCATGCTTGACGAGCCTCTCGCAAAATATGCCTCTCAGTCTCGCAACGTGCCCCCTGCATCTGCGTCAAGTTCACACCAGGAGGATCACCCTCTACCAGTCCCCACTGATCCTATCCAGATTCAGCATCCCGCTGATGACCCGCCAAGGGGAGTCGAGCCGCCTTGGCCTGGGCTGCATCTTGACTACCATCGACACGGTCAACGCCATCAACACGGACTCTTGGTTATTTCTTTAATACCACAAGACTTGAAGATTTTGAGCATTCGCCACTTAATCAAAAGAAGAAGAAAACCCAGAGCCTAGACCTAAATGGCGCAAGAAAACCATCAGGATGTCCGGCATTACGCCAAGCATCACCAGTTGACTCGCAACATCAACTCAAGTCCCCACATGGGGCCTCCTCCCCAGGCCCACGATCCGCTCACCTGCTTCTTCTTCTTCACCTCAGCAGACGCCGTGACCTATCCACCCAGGTACAGAAGCGCCCAGGAGCTCGTTTCCGGGGTAAGACTGTTGACTGGCTGGCCTCTGTCCCACACGCCGTGGGCCCCGTGAGACATGGACAAGGCAAGGAAGCGCTCATGGGGACGTTCTAGAAGGCGTGATGCAGAGACAGGGACGCTATATTTGCACACGGCGGGCTATTACCCCATGGAAACCTCATGATGCCAACCAACAGGTGGATTGTATCCTTGCTAGATCTGAAAAAGCTATCCTGCCCTTGTTCGCCATATCCAACGCCCTCCCGAGAATCAAACACCCTTATAAAATAAGCTCGTCTTGTCTAACCTCTTCCAATACGCAATTCCAGCCTATCTCGCGTCATAAAATTTCATCATATTGGGTATCTCTCTTGCATTCCGTCCCCTCCCAGTCCACTCCAACCGCCGATTCCCATTGATGAGTAAAATGCGACATGCCCGGTTCGACAACGTCGAAGCAAATGTCGTCGAGATGTTGCCAAGAATAAAAAACAATCAACAACTTTTATATAAAGATACTGCTAGTGCTGTTCAACAATAGACAACGTCCATGAACAATCAAAAGTCTTCCGCCCATGATAGTAGTATTCATCATGTGTCCGTCGACAAGACCTGCCGTCGTAAGAATAGACAGTCAGTGCCGGTCACGGCCAGAGCTGCACTTCAATGCAAACTGCGTGCCAGGACCGAAGGTGGCCTGTTTGTCGAGGCATGTTGCGGTAGGATATATCTATCACACATCCCGCAGCATCAACTCCGTCGACCAGACGGCTGAGAAGAACCAACAAGTCAACCGCGGCGAGATTGCCTTTCAATCAAGGGTGGTCGTTAAGTGTCGATGTCCTCTCGCTGCATGCCATGGCATACTAGGTTACCTGAGTCGGGCATTTCAACCCCTCAGGAACCCCCATCAGCCGTGAGTCTCGATTTCTTGCACAAACGGGAGCTCACAGGAGGGCCGGGCCTCCTGTGGTGTCAGCTCCGTGGGCGCCTGTCGGTGATTGGAGCATTCGTCGATATAAGTGCCGGGGTCCTGTTCGATGGTATGCGCCTTCACCTCATATTGGTTTGGTCGAATTGGAATTGCTGCGCAGGAAACTGCATGCTGGCAGTCAATCCAAAGGGGTCCCAGTCAAGACCGTTCTGGTCCAACAGCTGGGTCATAGATGGGTATTGGGAGTGTGTGGTTTGTGGTGGCTGAACGGGCTCGTGTGACGGTGTCATCTGGTGCCCGGGTCCGTTCGAGGCTGGCGACATCATCATGGGTTGTTGGTTGTCGCCATTGTAGCCTGATGGATAGCCTCCGTGTCCGGCCGGTGTTTCAATCTCGGAATCATCAATCATGTCGGCTTGAGCGTCATATTCTTGCTCTGTACCCATATTGTCAGCTTACGTTACTTGGCCATGGGCTTGAGGCATCATCAGCTTACCTAGCTGCTCAATGTGATTCTGGAAAGCGGGGGTGGGGTAGTACGAAGCGCCCGAAGACACCGGGCCGCCTCGGACACCCGACTGCATCATTGGTTGTCTAGGAGCCTGTGTGCTTTGGGGCATCTGCTGCTGCGGTTGTTGCGGTTGCTGAGGCATCTGCTGTCGACCCATGCTTGTCATGGAACCTCGCATCGACACATTGTCCGAGGCCGCTGGCGAGAAAGCACCAGTGTTTGTCGGCGAATTCGAGTGCGACGATGGTGTTGGTCGGTTGTTCTTGGGCGAGGTAGCGGTCGAGTGTGGCTGGAGGGGAGGCGGCAACACGGGACCGGGCTCAGCCTTTGGTGCAATGTTCGAGTTCGATCGACGAGACTGGTGGTGTCGGTTCATAATAGCACGCTGAATTGGTGGTGGTTGAACCAGGTTCTGCGGCATATGGGTTGGCCCAAGGTTGGGGCTACCAGTCTTTGCGCGAAGCTCAGCCTGAACATCGATGCCCTTCTCAAGAAGAATACGCTCGAGTAAAGAGTTCTTGTAGCGAAGCATCAAACATTCATCGGCGGCCGTGCGGTGGGCCGCCTGGAGGTTATGGAGGTTGGACTCATGGACGCGGATGGTCTCTTCGAGTTGCTTGATGTATTCGGTTCGGCGTTCTCGGAAGGCAGCCTGAGCCTGTCTGTTGCGTTGTTTTCGTTCTTCGGACGTAGCATAGATCTTTGGCGTTGTCTGTTAGTTGCTATCCGACAATGGCATTGTTATGTGTTGGTGGATGTCTTAGTCGAGGCAAGGTCGGGAGCAAGGGCGGGGAATGTGTTTGTGTTCAAGGCACTCTTGGTAAGGCCAAGAGACGCCCGCAACCATCGTTACATGGTCAACGTGTCGATCTCGTTGATGTACAAGACCAAACATTGAGGGCGATAGAGGGTGTAGGTAAGATGTTATGCAAGAGTTGGTTCACTTACAGGCTTGCGGCCGCCCTTCCTCTTGGGCTGCTGAGCCTCCTGGGTAGCATTGGCAGAGGTTATCCCCAGGTTGTGGTCCCTGTCAGGGCTAGAGCCTGCGGGCGAGTCGGTCTCTTCTCGACGATGACCGTTGAGGCCGTTGAGATGGTTGCTATTCTGGTTGTGCGTCGGATCCGCCTTATCGATGGACATCTTGTCTGCCATACCCAGGCAGGGGCTTCGAGACGATTTGCCGCACGGCGGCAAACGCCCCAGACAGGCAAAACGGGAATTCTGTTACGTGACGAGGTGGAACGTCGAAACGACGACGGGCGCAGAGAATCGAGTCCAGAGCAAGCGTGCGCCCGTTGGGTTTTTGCTTTGCGGTTGCGGGCGTAAGTGCGGCGGGCGCAAGATGATAGCAGATGCGGCCAAGGTTGGGGGTTGTACGGGGGCTCGACGAATAGGGCGAAATCAGGTGCGATAGGCGCTGCTTGGCCTCAGATAATGGTTGCTCTGCGAGTGATTGTTCAGCGCGTCTAACAGGCGCCTATCAGTTCAGTGGGATGTCGCAGGGACGTCCGAAACGTAAGAAATTCTACGACGAGATAAAAACGGGCTGTAATTCGCGTCGGTTTTTGGGGGGGAAGTAAGATAACAGGAAGAGCGCGCGCAAGGGAGGCAGCGTCCCGTACTCTTTTATGTAATGGGAATTGCGAGGAGGGGGCGGCCAAGGGCACTCCTTCTTTTCTGCGTACACTGCGAGGGCCTGAGCCCTTGGGCCAATCAGGAGCACATATGGGTGGGTTGGCCAAGCATGGTCCAGGTGGGAATCAGTGGATCACGCACCAGCCAGCGGCACCACCCACTAAAAAAACCAGTCCACACAGCAGACACCACCCGACTCTTTTACCCATCCATGGCCTCTTCTCCTCCTCTTCACCTTGAATTCCTCCACCTGGGCTGGTCTGGTCTGTTCCAGGACTCGGACTCGGTGCCTGCCTAGCTCCATCTCGTCTCGCCTGCTGATGGGAGATTGAGTGAGGGATTCGAGAGACACGGGAGAAGGTGCACAGGCCAAGGTGATCTCGCTCGACTCGGAACGGTGAGCCTGGGATCCAATCAAGGGATATTACACCTCGGCCGCCTCCCTCGTTCGTACCGCCGCGGTCCCTCCTCCATCTGCCATCCCAAAGGACAGCCCATCCGCCGACGCCGCAGCCATCGCCCACATCCCACCCACACTAACCGGACCTGGATAGCACCAACTGTAAGAGGTGTTTCTTGATGGTGAAGCAAAATGCAGCAGAGTGCAGCAGAAAATTTCATCTCTGACGGTCGGCGCCGCCGTGAAAGATAAGGATTTATTGAGAGGCCATCCCCCATGCCATCATCCCACGCTCTGTGCAAGCGACTACACCATCTTCCAGCAGCCTCTTCTCAGCTGGCTGTGAAAACCGTGAGGGGATTTTCGCTCGTGTGAGGAGATTGCTGCTGGCTCGCTGGAAGGTCAGAAAACTCGTCTTGGTTGGCTGAATTTGGTCGGCTGCAACATCGGAGCCCCCGCTTCCCACTCTCACGCCGGAGATGCTCTTGTTGCTGGGCTGCCTGGCTGGGAGAGAAAGCAAAGAGAGTTGGCAGCCCAGTCCCAGGACGTTGGTGGTGGTGGTGTGGCATGTGCCAAAATGTGCCTCTTGCTTCGCGGCGTCAAATCTCACACCCCATTCTCCAATCGTTGCTTGGCATGCCAGAATGATGGCTGTCAGAATTTTCAAGACTCGCAGCCGTACTCGGACAGAGATGCCCTTCCCAGTCACCTTGAGGAGCCAGAAAATTGCCGCTTCGTTTCATCATTCAGACGTTAGCCCGTCATTTCGCACGATCCAATTGATCGTCCTTTCATGCTTATTTACACCGTTTCTTTTGTTTCTCAACCTTGCTCTTCTAGAAAACTCAGGGAACGATCCATCGTTTGCTATCCACTCACTGGCAGGGATTGCTTCGCCCCGCTGGCCTGCACCTGGAGGTCTCGTCACCGTTCCTCTTCCAGGCCCCCTGTGGTGTCGAAAGATAGGCGCTGTTTTTATCGAGCTTCGTCGATGCTGTGGTACGTCATGCTCGATTACCGCGAGGCTTCAGAGCCGACACAACTGCCGCCTATCTCTTCGACTTTCAGCTCTTCGCCCAGCTGCAGCGCCATCTTGGACGCCACTCACTAGCTGTCGTCCCCCTATCGCATCGGTTTCCGCGAAGACCGAGAATCAAAAATCCTGGAAGAGGAAACAGCGCAATGTCCAAGTCTGACTTACGACAACGAACGAGCACATGGTGGAGCGGTCAGCACCACACCTGACCCGTATTTCGATTAGCGCTGGACCCGGGCCTTGAGGCACTTTGATCCTTGCGCCGTGAAGAACTCTCCTCTCGGATTGGAGCTTTGATGCGTCCGAAACCTCCGCACCGCGGGCATTGTTTCATTAACAGCGGTCCATGAAGATGTTGTTGCTCTAGCCCATTATGCGGCAGCACATTCCAAACTTTGCTCCTCAATTGTGTGGCCCAAGAGCCGTGTTAATTAACTTGTGCTCAAGGACGGAGCAGGCCTCTCTACCGGCATGGCGAATCCACAAAGAGGCCAGTGTGCTCAACAAGCCGTGCCGCGTGCGACTGTGGCTGTCTGTCAAGGGCCATCCGCCTTGCTGGGCCGTCGCCTTCTGATCTCCGATGTTCCGAAACATGTCACGAGATTCAGAGACACTTGCACCGCATACAGCTTATGCTGACACGCAAGCTATTCCTCGAATTCGGCTTTCGTCGACGGAATTCGCAAAGTCCCTCACAAACTCGATACCAAACAAGACTGCTCCTCACGGAAGCATACGCAGGACCTTGCGTTGCCCCCGGCCCCATGATCGTGATCCCCACTTGGTCGCCGCATGTCTCGCATGCCGGCCAGTTCGGCTTCGAAACTCTCAACTTGCGACCACACGCGATACATGTGCTGTACAGCCTCGACTTCGCCTTGGTACCTTTTGAGTTCAAGGCATTGCTCAAGGTTTCATCTCGATGCATCAGGTTCCTTTGAGAACCATCAAGACCAGGCTCCCACTTCACGGGCATTTTGATAGGCGAGTGCCTGAAACTGACATGACGCTCGGACACGTTCGTGCGACCCGGTCATGCCAACTTCCATCTTTGTCGATTTCTCACATTTGGAGGTTGAGCATACCAAAAGCTGAGACTGGCCAGGTCAGTCTAGACACACGGTTTTCTTGCAACGGCCAAGCCACATTGTGAGATAAGCGAGACAGCTCCCTTTCTACCATCTTTCTCCTGTCTTGTCTTGCTTCAGTCCATGCATCAACTCCCAGGAATTGCACCTAGGCGCGTGGCAGTGGCGGCATTTCTCAATGACATGACCTTGCAAGCCGGCATCCCTGGCTCGCGAGCCCAACATGGATTTCACCAACCGGACGTTGTGCCGACCAAGGACTTGGAAGCTTTGACGATGGAGAATGGATGCGAGTGAAACTGACAAAGCCTATAGGTACATTCTCAGAACATGCCATCCTAGGTAGACGTGCACATTGGTTATTAGCGACACGAGTTCGCATCACGACCGTGCTTGCTGTGGAAACCTACTTGACGACGACTGGATAGAGAGCAACGATAGCATGAACGGTGATCCAACAGGCAAAGCATCCGTCACCGGCCAAGCCGACAACTACACGTCTTCTCTCCAGGATGCAGACCCTTGTCGAAGACCAGAAGGCTGTTCACCTGCTTCGACAATTGAGGCAGCTGAGACACTGCCAATCAATAGTCCATGTCCAAGATGCCACGATGCATCACATCGTTCTGGTCGACGCGAGTCGTCGCAATGGGGCCGTGTGGAGCCTCACGCGGTGTAAGAGTTGGATTCCATGCATCGTTCCAGAAGCCATCTTGAAAACTCTGCCCGTCGTTCATTTCCCGCCAATAGTTGGTGGCTAACTGATCACGCCCACAAGCCCCCGAAGGATAGACCCGTCGTCGATCACCTCTTGGGGTAAGTCATACGTAAAGCTCGCTCTGGATGTGGACTCAACATCTTGAGTTATGGTTACTTCCCCAGATCACCCGCCTTGTGGGATAATGAGGACATTCAGATCAGTCCTCATTTAGCTTTGGGGAACCCACATGGTCCAAAAGCGATGCCATTTCGACAATGGCGTGTTGCAGGCTCAACCGTTCGCAAGTACGATATCGGCCTCCTTGAGTTGTCAACTGCGCCCTATCACTCACTGCCGAAGACCGCATCGATGATCGAGGTCAGACGCAAATCAAACCCCTGCAGACGATACTACGCAGGGCGGTTGATCCTTGGCCAGGATAAGTCGAAGGCAGTTCGTCTGAACCCACCCGTCCTGCATCCGAGATGCCTTGTCACGAATCTAGCTTCCTTGGGTGCTAGCTTCCGCCCTTGCACGACAACTTGAACCAACCCAACAAGGCGTTATGGTACTCCCGTTCTGGTGCAGAGGCTGTCACCGTCCCTCACCGTCCGGTGAGTGATATAAACTTGTGCATCAAGTTGCTGAGCAACCGTGTTGCCTAAGCTGTACCCTTTAAGTGCAGGCATCATGAATGTCTCATCAGACTACGAGGACATGGCGCTATGGATCACGATCACAAGTCCCAGTTACCTGGCCAAGATGCCCCAACGAGTCTCTTGTCTCGCAGTTCCCTCACCGAACGAGGGACCACAACTGACGGGAGGCTCATTGGACATGTCGTGAAAACAGTGGCGCCTCAGCTGACCTTGAGTTGGGCTTTTACAGTCTTAAGACCGGGATGATCGGAGAGCCCCGGTCACGGCATGGTGCTAAAGACGGTGGGCTGAGACAAAAGTGGGTATAGCTGATTTCTGGAAAATTTCTAGCGCGGCTTAGGCCACTTTGCACGGCATAAGGACCAGATCCAACGAACCTCACCCCATGAGCTGCTCTCTTTGCCCTGTCCCTGGCCTGGTGGTTCTGGTGCCTGGCCTCGCTCAGACAAAGTGACGTGAGCACTTCTGACCACGTTCTCGGCTAAATCGTCGTGAATTTCGTTTCGAGCAGGCCCTCTTGTCGAATCGCGGCTGGGAGCGCAACCGCGATGATCCAACCCCTGAGGGTGAGAACCATGAGCTTCAGTTGAGGCCCCTGCGTTTCAAGCGGCGCAGCAGGTCC